TGGTTTGTCCTCATTTGGGTCTGACTTCCTAGGAGAGGAACCATCTAGCACAATCACAGCTGATTCAGATCAAACAAAGGCATGGAAGCACAAAAAGAAGTGATGCTACTGGGCTAAGTTGAACAAACTGAGGTATCAGCAGGCATTCCTCAAGGAAGACCCACTGTTCACATACAAAGGTGAAGTTCAGGTCAGACTATTCAAGAAATGGTGTTGGGAGCCTCATGATTGGGTACAACTTGCACACTTGAACTGCAAAAAGAGTATCCATATTGCTGGGAAATACTTGAGCAGGCATGCTTACCAGTTCTACAAAAGGGACATCCTAGACTTGAGAAAACAATATTCCCTCACTGAATTTTTCAAGGCACTCTTTGACTACATATTCCCAGCAGATTTCCAGATGCAGCAATGCAATAAATTTGATGCATGCTGTGAGGATCACCACTCAGTATTAGACTTTTTGTGCCAACTCCAAGAAATAGCAGACACTGTCAGAGACATAGGTGAATGCGAGGTTGTGTTAGCATTCTGGAGGCACTGCCAACCTTATCTATGAGTGGAACTCACCAAGAATGGGTATGATGCCACCATGATCTCCTTAGTGACTCTCGAGTCTGAGTGTGTCAGGTATGAGAAGGCAAAACGTGTTATTGATGAGGAGCAACATCAGCACCAAGTGTTATGCTTCCATCAGGGGTCTTTCCTTTTTCGACTCTTCATGGTCACATGTGTCATGTGTCTCGTCATGTCCCTCATAATCCTTGCCATCTTAGGGGTTTGTATGTTAGATGGATCCCTTGGATCACCTGCTGTTGTGGTATTTCCAACACCTGTCAACACCACAGCTCTGCCCTCATGATCTGGTGTTCCACCACCCTCTCTGATGGACAACATGTTTACTTCTTGCTCCAGTGACTCGTCTCTGACTCGTTTATATTGCTTTGATGTTGTACTATAGCTCTGGTGTCTGGCTCCTCACTGCATGTTGATTGTGCAGCTGGTATAGCCTTCGTCCCCTTTGCTACCCCCATCACTCGACACCACATGACTCTGCTTTTGTTATTTATTTGACTGATCATTCTGTTGATTACTGCAGATATGTGTCATGACAACTGGTAGGGTACTATATAAGTCCTCGGATTTGGTACACTCGCATGAAATTCTGCTAAAGATACTGTAATTCCTCTGCGAGATTTTTGGGAAGACTTGGTAGAATGTCAGGAGTATTTAGACTCGTGTATGATACCTTGTATCCTCGGTTTTTCGATAGCTTGCAACTCAGCTAACTTCCTTCTTGTTCATCCTTGTTCTCTCTCCATGTGACTGCCTAGCATATCACCAGAAGACAGAACCTCTGTCAGACCTCCAAGATAACTGAGCCATAGGGGTTATGACAAGTTTGGCCCATAGACTCCCCCTCATGTGCTCTGTGCCTATTCCATTTGAAGAAGTCACTGTGCTTGGGCATAACAAAATCAAAAAACTCAACACAGCTTTTGGGACTTGTCAACCTCTTCATGCAAAAGTCTACTCATCCCTGGTTACTGAACTTCAACAAACCATTTTGCTTAAACTGCACTAGGCTCGTCGCTCTCCCTACATGTAAAGAATAACTTGCCTTTGTCCTGCCTCTCAGGTAACAACATTGAGAAGCACCCCTCTACCCTCAATCAAATCCACCACTCTACAGGCAGCCATTAGGCTTTAATAGATTGCCTCCCTGGAGTTCATGCTCGTGTCTCCCTATGTGTAAAGCCACTCGCACAACCACCCTCTTATGCTGACAGGTTTCTTTCAAGAAATAAATCCTCCCTCAGCCTTCATTATCACTTCCCATTAAAGTGTCTAACCCCCAGAGATCAAAGCCCCCAGTCCCTCCTAGACCTAAACCTCTTGGGCTCGGGAGAAATCCCCCACTACCACCCATCCCTTTAGGATGACTCAGTCCTTCAGTTACTGCAACAAACCCTCGGTTATCTTATCTATCCCATTTTAGGGATTCAGAAGTCACACTTAGTTCAGAAGAAGAAGGTGATCAGAAGTCTGAGACTTCTTTCGGATCAGTCCTCAGTGAAGAACAAGAAGCTCACAAATTACCCATGATGTCCATGACAATTGGTCATGGAGAGTCAGCTCCTGAGATGCCTACAAGGACCTTCTTGGAAGAGGAGCTGAGACAAAGGTTGGAAGAACAATGGCTCGCTATGGCAGAGGAGCTCCAAAGAGCTATGCATGCCCAGAGTAGTGACCCCTTTCCAACAGGAATGCCTATGGACTCAGCATTATGCAATTGGTATTGGAGGAACTTCAGAAAGGTAATTCCCCCAGAGGTCCCCTTGGCAGGGGCCAGTAAGGGTAAGGCCCCAGCTGACCCTGATGATGTGTATGATTGCTGCCCACCCAATGGAGGTCAGGAGTTTAATGTTGGGCATCCCAGAGAATATGATGGAAGCCACAATGGGCTCCAGACCCAGGTTATGCAGGTCAAAGGTTACTTGAACCTGAACAAGCATGTTTACAATTTGGAGTCACTCAAGATTTCGTTTGCACTCACCTACATGACCAAAGGTGCAGCAGTTTTGTTCATTAAAAATTACCAAAATGAAAACAAGCTTCTCGATGGAACAATCTATTACACAGATACCTTCCAGAGATTTGTGGAACATCTCAAAGGGCCCATCCATTTGTTGTGATGATATACATGATACTACTGAAGGGCCTGTCCTTATGTTGTGACACTATTAGATGATATTACTGACAGGCCCATCCATATGTTGCAACAATATAAACAATACTACTGAAGGGCCCATCCTTATGTTGTGACACTATTAAACAGCATTACTGATGGGCCCATCTTTATGTTTTGACAGGGTACATCTTACTGGGGCTGGGCCTGCCCATATGTTGTGACAATATAAATAATACTACTGAAGGGCCTGTCCATATGTTGTGATGCTATACATGAGATTACTGACAGGCCTGTCTTTATGTTTTGTCAGAGGTATATCTTACTGTGGATGGGCCCATCCATATGTTGTGACTCTATTAAATGATATTAGTGATGGTCCTGTCTTTATGTTTTGACAGGGTGCATCTTACTGGGGCTGGGCCCACCCATATGCTGTGACAATATACATAATACTACTGAAGGGCCCATCCATGTGTTGTGATGCTATACATGAGATTACTGATGGGCCTGTCTTTATGTCTTGTCAGAGGTACATCTTACTGTGGACAGGCCCATCCATATGTTGCATAATACTACTGATGGGCCCAACCTTATGTTGTGACTCTATTAAATGATACTAGTGACAGGCCTGTCTTCATGTTTCAACAGCAGTACATCTTACTGTTGACAGGCCCATCTTTATGTTGCAACATGGGTATGGCTTATTATGAATGGGCCTCTCTAGATGTTGCAACACCATAAATGATATTACTCCCAGGCCCATCCATATGTTGTGACCCTCTCCATGTTATGATAGGTGGGCCTGCCTTGATGTTGCAACAGGGGTGTAACCTACCAGGACAGGCCTGTCCATGTCTTACAGCAACTCAGTATACTTAATTGGTCATGGGCCCATCTAAATGTTTCAACATCCTTACCCACTGTGGGCCCTCCCATATGTTGTGGTAATGCACTTACAGGCCTGTACATATGTTGCTCTCACTTTAGTCCCTCGGGCCTGTCCATGTGTACTGGCCAATCTATTTAGGCAGGCCCATCTCAGGGTCTATATAAGTGTTGGTGTTTTGGCACACAGGCTGCCCATGTGTTGTGACTAAATGTGACTACACTATGTGCAATGAGGTTGGTATCCCATCTGTCAAGCTTGGCATCTACAACATGGGCATCAAGACTTCCAATGCCTTCTCTGCTCAGGGCAATTTGGGCTCCCTCATCTGGCACATGAAGGATGGTGAAGCTTTCATTGTTGGCCAACTCCACTCAGGCAGTAACAAAGGCAACTTGACCAGCATCCGTGTTATGTATTGTACCCCAGGCTGGTACTTACTGCTCCAGATCAGGAAGGAGTTCAAGTACACCAACTTCTACCACACCACCTGGTGAGATTGAGAATGACATTGTCAGCTTTCTACTCTCCATCTCCATGCTCCTTCTGCTTCTGTGATCCATTCTGTTGCCTTGGCACTCATATAAAGATAAACTCAGTTGCACATGAGTAGTGACAACATCTGAGGTGATGACTTTACAGTATGAGGCTAAGTTGGGGTCTGTCATGGGCAGGGGTTGCCTGGATACCTGGACAGGTATGGGATATGGGGTTGACTTACCCTTAGCATCCACAGGTTATCCATGGGTTTTGGCATACTGAGACCACTACTATGCATCAGAGGTCACATGATGTCATTGTTAGATTGGAAGGTATTACTGCAGTTTGTGAAAATGATGACAATAGTCAAATACTTGCAAGTTGTGTTGTGAGGATTTCCAAATTAGGAAATGAAATGCATGCAATATATAGGAGTGCTTGTACTCTACAGTAGTCCAGGATTCTGTCAATATATGTTTGTTCCAGTCCCTGCCATGCCCCATCACCACATCAGCAATGACCTCAAAGAGTGTGCACTGCATTTGTGGAATTCTGGATGGGAGTTAGTGTTGGAGTGAAACAACCCCTGTCCTTACTTGGACTTAGGCACATGATCATGTCACTTACATAAGCTGTTAGAGCACACCCATACACTAGTAAAATTTACCTAGTCCCTCAGTAGCTTGACAGACTACTGAGGGTGAGTACACTTCTACATAGATAGAATACCCTTACTAACTTGTATAGTTCCCTACAGGTACTATACTCAATATTAGTAGCTTGACAGACTACTGAGGTTCCCTACAGATTCCTCTCTGGGTTCCCCCTCTGCAACCCCACAAACATCTTCAGTTAGAAGATGTTTGTGCTGCTCTTGGTGTCTTGCCTCACAGCTGCTATTGCTGGCAGTCCATCATGGAAAGGGACAGTGCTGTAGAATGACCACCTTCACCACTGAGGGGACATGCTCAGACAATAACCAGGGTGGTGCTCAATGCAATGGAAGACCTTTTTATGGAGGACTCTGACCTATTTCTCAATGAACTTTCTACCTGGCTTGCAGTTGAACATGACATCACTATCAGTATCTCAGCACTCAGTTGCACCCTAAATGATGTGGGTGGTGGGTTGGGCTCTGACCCAGATGAGTTGTGTGAGGTGTTGTCCATACAAGGCTCAAAGAATGCTGGATCCATGTCAATGAATCTCAGCCCAGGTGTCTTGTCTGCACAAAAAAGTCAGTTGTGAGGGGAGGTTGAATGATGACTCACCTCATGAAGTCTCAAGTCTGTCCAATAGCATACAGTGGCTTTTCTCAGCCACATCATCAATCACGAAGATAGGATCATCAATCCCAGGGTCAGGAACTGGCCCTTGTGTGCCCGCTTCGTGCATCTGGGCAGTAGTGTCCTAGAATTGCAAGGATGCCGATATTGGAAGGGCAAGCTGCTTATCAACTTTGTCATCAACTGGGGTTGGTGGGCAAGGTCAGCAAAATTGTATCTTGATACCAGTGTTGGTCTTCTTGGTCACCTTTGACAGCTTCTTCGCCGCTGTTGACTGGTTCTTGGCCATTCTTGGGTCTCTAATGTACCACTCGCTCTGCAACATGGTGGCACTGTGTGGTGCACTGATTCATTTCCTAATTTGGAATCCTCACGACGCGACTCGCAAATATTTGACAATTGTCATCATTTTCGCAAACTGCAGGAAGTGACTGACCTGGACCAGGATGCGTCCAGGAATATAAAACATCACCCATGCCCAGCATCCGTCTGACTGGGTAATAGCGAAATACGTAACGTTCGGGATTGGCAATATTGGCAGTTTGTTTTCTGTGCCAATCTAACTCAAACACTGTACACTATCTTCCTTTGGACACACATTCTCCGTTGGGCTCGTACCCTTTCTCCCTCTATAACTTCTCAGTCGCTGAGTGCACAAACAAGCCAAGAAAACCCGTCGTATCGAGACGCTATTCTCCATTGGAGGTCTCAGGCAGCCTCTCGACACATTATTGAATGCACTTTCGCGCGTGTGCACGGATCAGGGTCTTTCCCTCCTTCCAAGCCTCTTTGCTGCGGGTCTTTGTGCAGTAAACTGCCACTGCACAACGCCTTTCCCCTCTTCGTCCGAGTCGGCATCTCCTACCCTGGCCATTCATGACGCAGTGCGCACTAATGCAATGGAGGTCTGGGAATCCCGTTGGAAGGTTCTTTTACGCGATATCGTAACGGTAGACTCCAGAGCACAAAGGGCTGATGCATAGATGGCGCTCGTAGGGATCTTGGACGTGATCGAAAGGGAGCGCTTGTACACCCCGCGCACAACTGTTGGGTCAGGCAATCAGAACATGGCTCCCAGTGGTGATGCGGAGTCTGCTTTGATAGAAGCGAGGGAGCATGCGCTGGTCACAGTCGAGCGCGCGGGTCAAGTTTGTCAGTCGAATGACATGCCGGCCGTGACTCTGGCGATAGATATTCTCGACGTGCTGGTAGGAGTTGAGTGTGAACTGATAGGCGGCGAATTGCAGAGGTTACTGGGCGCTATTGTCGGTGTGAGTAGTAGTAATTTACCTGGTTTTATCTTGGCGCATCTTGCAGACTAATCTTCGGTTTCGTAGTTGCCACACCTGCTCTCCGTGCGGCCAACGGATGCTGTTCGGCGACTACTTTCGGACTTTCTTGACAATCGCGCTAAGACCTGTATGGTACACATGTACATCCTCATCCTTCTTACTGCCCTTTCTTCACTCACCCTTCCCGAATCGGTCTCGCAGTCTCTCCCTGTGCCACTGCATGACGTGATGTTCAGTCCGCTTCGGTCACATCCTTTGTCGCTCACTAGAGCTCTCCGTATAGCTTTGACGCTTGTACAATCTGTAGATGCTGCGGTAAGCGACGAAAAACTGGTGAAGGGAAAGAGATACCAATAGCAGGACACGCTAATGACGATGGTACGCTGTGGTCGAAGTGTCACTCGCTAGCAGTTGCATTTACTTATGTTTCCCGTGTGTCTGGCACCGTTATCTCTAGCTTCTCCCTATATGCGTATGTCTCCGGTGCTCATAATCCAGGAGTCGTGTGGGCCTAGGTTGGGAAGTTGGGGTGCGATATCGCCCAGACTGTGTGCGACACGGACGAGGTGAATGGCAAGAAGTAGATCCCCGACGTGAAGACGAAAGCAAGAGAAAGAAGCGCAGGAAGCGGCAACGCGAAAGGGAACAGCAAGACCCTGATATGCTAGCTTCGGATGACGTCGTCGCTTCTGCTGCGTTGCAATGTCTATGCGATGTCCGCGCTCGATTGCTACGAGTTGCGAGCTCGTCAACGTCTGTGATGCTAGGCCAAAGTGACGTATTATGAAGCGATGAAATCGAGGAGTTTCTGGGCGTCGTCGGCAACGAAGGCACGTCGGCGGAATTAGTACTGGAAATCGTGCCTATGGCCTTCGTTACTATTCTTTTCTCTGTGCAAACTGCATCCACACATGTACAGGTCAGGTCACACTTCGCGCAAGTTCCCCAAACGCGCGGCTTCCAACATGCTCAGGCCAGTGTCATTATCAAGGCGAGCATCGATATTTTAATTCGTCACTTCTCCCTTCAAAGTCGATGGTGCGGCTCTTCAGCAGCGCTTGCGCAAGAAAACTTAGGCGTTTCCCTACTTTACGTGTTAGCTGATCGGTGGATAAGCGCCATCGAGTGCGTTCCTTCGGTTGCCTCAGATTCGTATCTCATCGGAAACGTTGCCCTACTGCACTGCAATATTCAGTGCAGTCGCTCCGAAAGAGGTGCTCCAGAGGTTCATCTGCCTTCTCTTGACCATTCGATTAGAACTTCCATTTGGAACTACCAACAAACTTGAAGGACAACTGGGTTCACACCGAGACATCTCACCCCGCGACATTCTTCTCTTTGTTCTGAGGAATGCACAGTTTGGGGAGTTGTCCAATATGCCAGGTGCGTTTCGAGCTGGTTGTCCGTTCCATCAAAGAGTTTCTTACATTCATCCTTCGGTTCTGCAGGTGCCTTCCTGTCGTTTGCATTAAAGCAGACTGCCTTTCTACCAGTGGCGCACTCGCATCGATAGGCATAAAACTAGCGACTAGGGTTATGCGAAGCCCACTGCGCATTCATTCGCTGCCGGTAGGTACAGATCGTGTAACGACGTGCCCTCACGTTCTTATTCTGCTTTTCGAGGAGCTTCGATGTGTTTTCCCAATATTTAGGACTCGGCATACCTCGAGACAATCCCAGCACTGTATTTAATGAATGGCACTGAGATGGAGGGCAATCCGTTGTTCGACGTCGGTTTCAGCTTAAAATATCTCACACCACTGCGGTAGCACGCGACGCCCTCGATGTGCAAGTGGCGAAAGTCGCAGGGGAATTGTCTGTAGACAGTTTTTTTCCGCCTCAATGTAGTAGGAGTAGGAATCGAGGGCCCAGGACTTCCGGCGGGTCAATTCAAAAGCTTGATACACCTCTCGACAATCTTGTACCTCAAGGTCTGTATCAATCTCCTATTCTGATTATAAGTAACAGGGTTCGGTAATGCGTCACCACGCGAACTCTCAAAGTGGTCCAAGCATTCGTAACACGCTACCTTCATGCCTTCACCGATCGACCTCACCTATAGGGAGGTTCATCGGAATTGAAAGAACATTATCTGGAACTGATCGCGAAGCATTGTTCTGACAGAGTGAGTGTTGTCACTTTAGACGCTTTAGTCAATGCCATCCTTATATCCAATGGCAGCCCGCTGCCGTGCGTTCAGCCGACATCGGGAGTATCTGGTCTTTGCTCTGTAAAATCTTATCGGGATCCACCAGCGACAACACACCGCCACCTCATTCGCGATTTTTCACTGCATCGTTTCCGTAGCAGGCTCTCTCGTTCGTCTGGGACGTGACAAGGTTATACATACGCACCCGCATCTAGCCTTCGTCTTGCATCGACTGCTGCTGATAACCAGGCGCATGCGTCCGCAGCAAGGAGCTACGCAGAGTAAGCTCGTCGCAGGAACACTTCTGTCTTGGATTTCACCATCTCAGCCACTCGGCTTACCAAAAGCCGTGCTCTTAGTCGACTTCTCACCACGCTCACCGTCAAAACTGTCCCTCGTGTGTACACAACCCGACATACCGCGGTTGCCGCCGAAACACAAAAAGCTGAATCTCTGGCAAAGCCTTTCGCAAAGCATGCAGAACGCGTCCTCTTGGCATACATCGACTCTATGAACGACCGTTGTGTATCCTGACACCGGATATACGACGAGAACTCGAGCTTGGGCTATTCTCATTATGTGAAATGCTCGGTGAATACAATCGAGATGCTCTGATGTTTTCTGCACTGGAGTCCGGTGGTAAGACTTTCATGAAGTCGCGCTGGAGGAAGTATGAAAAGCCGCCATATGTAGGGAAGGGGTAATGCGATACGTATCTGTGGTCTCAGGACTGTCTTCGCCTCTCAGAGAGCGACAAAACTGTCCCCAAGGGAAAGGAGCACTAAGGCACATGCTCTAAAAGCTTGTTTTTTCTATTGAAGTTTAGCTGGAAAACCTATGTAGTCGCATATGAATGACTACGGCGCAGAGATTAATAGGTGTCCCATTATATTATCGCACAAATTTTACACCGAAGGGTCTGCCACTTCCATGGCTATCGGTTGGAGTCACCTACAGCGAAAAAAGATGGGATCTCAGCTGGGCGGAGGTAAGGGGGGGTAAGGCGGTAGCCAGAACGCAGCACTCGCTGGTGATGCATTTTGGAGACGGAGCTTGGGCTGTGTACTGTGGATGGGTGACAACAGAGTTGGCATGCTCAGCGATGGTCGTCATCGACACCACCAGCGGATGTGGCCATAGCACGTCGGTTTCGTGGCTTAGATCTTGACCCCGTGAGTGTGTGGACGCCTTGGTCAGGGCACTGATCGGTTATACCCCTCGTGCTGATACTAGCGTCGGTTAGCAAAGAGACATGTTACTTGTGGATTTCCCAACTGCACGACCGAGTATTGTGGAAGAATGTCTTTGGAAACCAGATCCTCGAGGGAGGAGCTGGGGAAGCTCCACTGTGCTACAGTGTCTGGTGTGAAGGACGGAGCGAGGACGGAGAGACAAAGCCGCTGAGAAGATCGGTGGCACGTTTCATCAGGAGCATAACTAGTGTACCTATCGAGCTGCCTTCGTACCGCGGACAGCAAGGAAGGACCGGTAGTCGAGTCTTTCCCTTGCCGATAGCATCACCAGGACTCGGCCAGACGACGAGAAGAAATGGGACGGCCCAGCAGGAACTTGGTGGTGTAGTTTACACATGTGTCAGGCTGTGCACTGCAGACAGGCACGTTGAATCAACGCCACTCGAGTCCGCAGTCTCTTCATGCTCTTCGTATTGCACCGTCATCGTCCCCTACAGCCATAGCACGCTTACTGTTCGAGACATCCTAAGACCTGTTTTCTCATCTTCACATCGCCATGGCGCCGAGCTCTCTTCGTTCCTGGTGGCGTCCGCTGCGGCGTTCTCAACCTCCGAGTCACGATGCTGGTATATTACTCCCCACTGAAGCCGCTCCTCCAGTTGCTCTGGATACAGTTGCCCCTACACGGGCTTCAGCCTACCGCTTAGATCCTACCGAGGCCAAGAAGCAGATTGATCGCATCCCTCGTTTTCGCATTCTTATCATGGGCAGAGCAAATGCGGGTAAAACAACTGCTTTACAGCGGGTCTGTAACACTACGGATCAGCCTGAGATCTTCGATGGAAACGGAGAGAAGGTACGTGGGTATGTTATGTGCTTCGTATTTGCTAACACGTCATTCTGCCAGGTTGATGCTCGGATGGTGCAGGGCTCACATCAAACTTATGCAGCGTGGCTACCATAACGTTGAGGATGAGCTGGTGTTTAAAAGTAACCCGCGCTTTGTGTTCTACGACTCATGTGGATTCGAGGCAGGGAGCGAGGCAGAGCTTGATAAAATGAAGAAATTCGTCACAGACCATGCCAAAGCCACCAAACTGCGCAGGAGAATATATGCAATTTGGTAGGGACATGTCTGACTAGCATGCCTGGAAGTGCACTGACCTGGTCCTTGAATTGATTTAGGTATTGCATCCCTTTGAATGAAAACCATAGGATGGTAACAGCAGCTGAAAAGAAGTTTTTTAATGAGTGTGATTCAGGGCATGGTATGTGTTCACAAATATCACATTGTATTTGGTGCAAGGATTTAGGGTTTGCACAGTTCCTGTGATTGTGTTACTAACAAAGGCAGATGCCTTAAATCTTGATGCAATTGATGAGCTGATGGAAAGGGGTTTTACTGAAGATGATGCAATGAAAGAGGCACCAGAGGTAGAAAACAGCTGCAAAAGGGCTGTCTGGAAAAGGTTAAAGGTTGGCTGAATGAACTGAAGTTTCCACCTCAAAGCTACCTGATGCTTGCTGGTAAGTAAGTCATGAAGAAAAAAACTGTGGATTAGCATGTGTCTCTTCAGGCATGGAACAGGAGAGTGTAGATTGTAAAGAGCTATTGAAATGCACAGCAAATGCTTTGACAGAGGAAGGGCTGCAAGGATTGCTTATATCATCACAGTGGTCAAACTTGGGACTCTGCATGGAATTTGCCATAATGAAGTGAGTAGTAATGATCAAGTTCTGCAGGGTACTGACTATAGAAAGGACATTGAAGGGGGTCATGAACTATAGGGGTGATCAGATTAAACTGGGCAAGTTGGCACATGACCTTTCAACATGGTTCCCATTTGCAAGCAACCAGTTTGTTGGGGGAATGAGTGGCTGATTAGGATATAGCTGGTGTGTGAAATCCTGCAAGTGCAAGTATAACTGATACTGAAGGCAATTGTTGTCATTGTGTTGGACTGTGATTGACAGCAAGTAAGTTGACTCATTGAAGATGGTGGTGGATGCATGCTGACATGTTTACTCCCACCTGGTTGGACTGGGGTTCATAGGAGGTGAGTGGAGTCATGGCAGATGGCAGATGGTGGTGGATGTATGTTGACATGTTCACTCCCACCCTGTTTGATTGGGATTCATAGTATGTGAGTGTGGTCATGGTAGATGGTAGTGGATGAATGCTAACTATATTCACCCCTGCTTTGCTTGCATGCATAGAATGTGAGTGGATAGATGAATGATGGTAGCCATGGATGGTTACTGGATTTGATTTTCTCTCCTACCCCATTGCATTTGCTTTCATAGGATGTGAATGATATTGTGGCAGCATCTGTTGTAGGAAAATGTATACTTGCAATCCTTACTATTTTACTGTTGACCTCTGGGTCTTAGAGAGTGAGTGATATAGACACTGTCTATTTAGCATGCTTCTCACAAGGTCTTCTTATCAAATAGATGGTGAGCTTGATCATTGTATGTATCTCTGCCATATTGCTGAGGCATTGTGTTAGGATGTAGGTGCAGGTCTTCCCATGTAGTCTGCCTTTTTCTTATTCCTCCACCTGTATCTCTCAGCATGTTAGTTGCAATAATTCCTCTGAAATCCTGACAAAGATTAACCTATTTCCAGATTGTATGGTTTCTGTTCCAAATCCTGCACTCATCCATTGCCCATATGTTTTACAGTTGGTTGGTCACTCTTTTTCCTACTTCAACATTAGTTTCATTTTACCCTTGATATCTTGTCAGGCGGTATGTTTCAATTCTTTTTTTTCTTTGCTAGCTGCCTATGATGTGTTGAATTGGTTGGTAATAGAAACCCATCAAACATAACAGCACTTCTATCTCCATCCCTGCATTGTCCACATCACAGCAGCATCCCCTGAAGGCACTTGTAGAACATGGCATTGGTAAATTATCTTTTCTTGCTGTTGCTTTAATCTGAAGCTCATGATTACAGGTTGTGTAATTGTCTTTGAATACTTATTTTTCCAGTTGCAGGTCAAGGATAGGGGTACTACAAGGGGGGATTTGCCACAGCATCTGACACTGATTGTCCAAAAATATCAGAAATCAGGTGTCCAAGAAATTGTTAATGCATGCATTGCGGAAGCCTTCCAGCAACATGGTGAATGGGTGGATGATTTATGCCCCAAGCTTGTGGGTATAGCACAGGCACAGGCACACCAGATGTGTAAGACATATTCTTTACCACAATGATGGAAGTCCTATTTGAATTGTCCACAGCAAAGACATTCCTGGAATGAAAAAAAAAAAAAAAAAAAAAAAAAAAAAAACAATTTCAGCTCTTATGTACCTCACTATTCTTGGTGAGTCCCTTGGTTTCCATCTGCTAACCAGTATGAAGGTTTAGTTTGCAGCATCCCAGTGCCTACTGGTGTCTTTTGAGAAATCCCCTATTGCTGTGGAAAATCATGTGAGATTTGGAATCTGTGTATTATTTTGTAAATCCATGTCTTGTCATGTAGTTCTGTCCCACCTTCAAATTTGAGACCTGATTTCTTGCCATCAGTTGTTGGGAATTCATGCTTCCTTTGTATAACCCCATATAGACTGCTGGAATATGGCAATTTATACAACAATTTCCCAAGTCTCATATACATCCAAACTGCCACCACAATGTCATATTTCTCACAAATTTGTCCAGTGCTATTAACCTTTGAATCACAAAGCATCCATGTGCATTCTCTTGTAAGGGGATGTTTTCACTATTCATGGAGTCATTATTCTGAGATGTTTTTGGCAAACAAACTGTAGATAAAGCCAGAAGGCCAATGAGGTCTATGTATGGTCACAAATAAGGGTAGCACATTGGGGTATGGGACTACTGCTTATCATCAATTTGTATGGTGTGTTAAATATCTAATCCCAACCTCTACTGCAACATGCCTAGTGCAGGTACCCCATGGTATTCACACTGTTGTACAACAGAGATAAAACTTATTTGCAATATTTTCTGAGCCTTGTAACATAAAGCATTGGGTGCACTGAATGCTGCAACCCCAAGATGACTACTTGTTCAGGAGGAAATTTTTGCAGAGGCTAGCATGTTCAATACCTGATTAAGAGTATCTTTGAAACTTGCAGAATATCAACTGAGCACTCAACAATCAAGGAAATCCTTGAAGAGGTATGTTGCATGGAAGTGGTGCAGAAGGCCATAAGCATGCATATGAGAATGGGCCATGCTGGCTTTGGAGGGAAACCTCCCAGGGATGAAGCAGTTCACACCCATGCAGCAAGAAGAGTGATCAATACTCTTCATCTAATGAAAACCTTAAATATACAAAGAAAGGGGTTACCATTTATTGAAGAAAGACAAATCTTCCAATGAAGAGCAATGGATTCCTGAGGAAGGATGGTGCAGACAGCAGTCTTGTCAATGAGAACAGGATCACTTGTATGGTAGGGGTAAACAACCTCAGAAGTTCCTAGCAGGGATCACCTGCTTCAATTGCAACAAGGAGAGCCATATGGCTCCTGATTGCCTCTTTCCTCAAAAGGATAAAGGCAAAAGTGTGGCAAAGCTATGATTGTTCACAGTCAATGTGTCAATGTCCAAGAGGACACACAACATGGACATATGTACTTGCAAGGTGGATAAGATGTAAGAGGAAAATTTGGGTGAGCTTGACAAGGAAGAATTGGTACAAGATATGAGGCAAATATGGATGTTAACCCCAAAGATATGGAGCAAACAGACATTGACAACATCTCAAAACACCTTCAAAACATGTTCCAAGGTGGACAAGGATGACAAGCCTGTAGCCTACTTTGGTGTGTGTTGTTTTTTGCATTTGCCATTCCTGTTATATCCCAGCAACCAGAGAATTCGATTAGCTGGTCTTTGGACATGTTGGAGATACCACATATGTAGACTGGCCTACCTACCAAGGTACAGACCATTCCATTGAGGAATGAATGAGTAGTGACATGATTCATGTGTAGCACAGCCACACTATGGGATAGCATTCATTCAGGGGCAGCTTAGTCACATGCCAGGTTCACAGTGAGGTGAGTACAGTCATGTGATGTCACATGACATGGGATTCCCATCCACATGTCACTACTAGGATCATGTAACTGACCTTTGTGGCAGCCAATCACATGACTGAGCAACCCAGTGACTCTGTCATGCCCATGCATTCATCCTAAGTCCCCAGTCACTCCACACACTACTCCACTTAGACACTTACCCACTCTGCACCAACTCTGCCTGCTCTCTACTCTTTACAAGTCTTCTCCACTCTGCCTACTGGCAGACTTGGTACTAGCCTACCATTGGACCACATGGACTGGTCTACAAGAGGTCATGTGACCCTACTGTCTAGCCTTCAACCTTCTCCTTGACACCATGCAGTCAGGTACTCTGCAGTGTGCACACCTTCTGGTTTGGCACCTAGACTGTTTCTATGTTCTCTGTCCACCCTTCATTTGTTGTCCAGGAAGTTTTCACTTGAGATTTTTCAAGTCTCTGTATGTCAGTTTTGATTCCAGTTGTTGTACCTCAGTAGAAGTATAAAAGCATGTACAGTACTCTGCTGTTCCTCAGTATGAATATCACTGAAGTTCCTACTCCAATCCTCCTTTGTCTTCTCTCTGTTGGAATTATCTCTGAACTTCCATCTTGTCTCTACCTCTGAAATATGAGGGCTGAGATCATGCAAGGGGGTAGTGCATGAGCTAAACCTGACACCCTCACACCATTCTGCTTCTGTCTCAGCAGACTTTGTCTCTGCCAATCCTCCACTAGTTGGAGTTCCATTCATCTGTGTCAGACTTGCTTCCATACCTCTCCCCAGACCCTAATCAGCATCAGAGTTGGTTGGAGTAGGCCCAGACTTGACAGACTGCATACCAGCTGTCACCTGACTGTTGTTTGCATCCTCATGTGACCATGACACACAGCCTCCCATCAGTGATCCTTTGTCATGTGACTTGAGCACTACCACTTGATGCTACACTTTTTGTAGTCAAAGGTAATCAAAAATGTACACTACCAAAGTGTAGCAAAGGCTACACTACACAATGCTAATAACTACTATAACTGGTGTGGCACTGAATTGCTACTGCAGGATGTGACAATGGAGTGATTTCATCATAATAAAGGCTTTAGCCCCTGATTGTGTGATCATGACAGCATGTTTATCTTATCAGAAGGTGGAGATATGCATGAGAAAAACACAAAATACTCAGAACAACACCATTGTTTACACAAATTGTCACATTGCCACAGTTGGATGGAGATTACCCTTACCTGCTTGGGGAGTCTCCCTATCCTCTTGGATATTCCCCATACCTGCTTGGAAATTCTCCCAACTCACTTGGAGAATCTCCACAGTTGCATGTGTTACATGTTGACCTGCTTGCCTACCATTTTTGTCTGCATATGGGCTATGTGGCATGAGTCAGAGTGTGCTTCAGTGGTGTAAACCAACCAAAACCAACACAAAAGACAATGAAAGTGAGTGGTGGTGCATCTATGCAATACCTAGATGGTGGAAGGTCTTATTCAGGTGGGTTTTTGTGAGTTACAACACTCAAAGATGAGTGCTGAGGGTTGGGGGTACTCCTGACAAAGAAGGAGCAGTAAAGTGAGAGATTGTAATGGGGTAGACTGCTGTCACCTACAGAAGGAAGGATGATGACTTAATGTGGTATTCTGAGCTGTACTGAGCTCAGGGAGGACTTGGAGTGAAGTATATTGATGATAGACAATGATAAGTGAAGTAGATGATAGTTAGACCCTTAATAAAGCCTCAGCTACCAAAGTCAATGAATGAATTACTGAGAGATGAAGAAATGTAAGCAAGAGGGGCTCTCTGATGTCTTCTTCCTTGCAGCTATCCAAGTACAGTGATATATATATATATAGTACAAGGGCATTGCCTGTGGAAAACAAGGTCCAAACACTTGGTAAGTGATTGGTAACTGATAAGTAAGGAATGTAAGTGGTGGGTAATTGACTTAGAAAGCATTGGTAAGCATTGGTAAGCATAAATAAGCCAAAAAGCAAAGAATCAGTAAGCAAAGTCAAACAATTTGTAAGTATTGGCAATAGGTGAGTCAAGGACAGTCAGAATATCAAAGTATGAGTCAAGCATTGTCAGAAACTGAGTAAGTGCACTGGAATTGCATTAGGGGGAAGCTGTGCATGTCACATCTCAAAGGAATCACTTCTAGGCCAAAGTAGGATGACAGAGAGGCAGTGCTGATCTGATACTGATATAGGACATCCTATAAAGGGACTGCAGGTGCCAGGTGTCAAAGGGGATCAAGCTTTGGGGGTCTGGGTGACAGGAGAATAGGGGATCACATTTCCCTCCCCCAAACTGTCCTCTCAGTGAGGCAAATAAAAACTTCATGAACAAGACTCTGTTGGAAGAGAGGATGAAAGGGGAGTGTCTTCTGCTGTATCTTGCAACAAGAAGGCAAAGTGTGCATCATACTCATCATGGATGCAATCAGGGAGAGTGGAGAACAGTAGATTATACTGTAGCTGTTGCAATTTTGGAAGAATAATTGATGAGACTGGTATGAAGATGTTGCAGGGAGCAGGGAGGAAGGATCTGTATGCTTCTTGGATTGGAGAGACTGAAACAACCACATAAGACCTTTTTATCCAAACAACAGACCTGTGGCAACTAAAGAATGTCCTCCTGGAGGCCAAACTGAGAAAGAGAACTCCAAGCCAGATGGGCTGAGAGGGGTCAGACAAGGATGGGATGTACCAGGATGCTTCAGGACAGGTGCTAGTAGGAACTCCTGGTAAATATACATAGCCATGGCCCCTAGCAAAGGGGACAAGTGAAATGATCAACATGGAGGCAGCCATATCAGAAGAATTAGCAAAATGAGTGTCTGTTGGAGGGAGTGCTGTAGAAACATTTGGATTGTGAGGATCTTTCCCAGTTTTGGAAGGTAGGATCATGTGGCTGAGCACTATAAGCAAGTGTGGGAATGGTGTCAGTATCAGCAGAAACAGGGGAGATATGTTGAAAACCAGAATGCTGTACATGGGCACTAAGAATTTTTATGGGTGCTTAACTTGTTTCCTTCTCTTTTCTTTGGCACTGATGACTAGTTCTTGTGCAAAGGATGACTGCCAATATTCCTTGCTGTCTTTCTACACATTAGGGCTCCAGTCTTTCATCTCCATTCATCAGCAACATCCATGTCCATGTCACCAAACACCTTTGGTGTGGGACAGTGGTCATGTGCATAGGGGTTGGATTGGTACTTGTGGTTATGTTCATCATCTGGAGCATGGTCTGGATTGCACTCCATCCTTGGATGCATCAGGTGAACTCCAACAGTCCCTACAGTGTTATTGGCTTGTCATTGACACTGCATCCAACTGCAGTCTAGCTGTCTACATGTACATTTCCCCTATCCCATTCCCCACCTTACTGTTGTATAGTATATTTGATATGTTTCACCTTCATCATGATTCTGCCCCTTGCTGCACCTGTCTGATTGTGCAGCCAGTTCAGGCCTCATTTTCCACAGTTATGAATCACTCTGATTCATTTACATTTCATTGTTTAACTTCCACAGTGATTAGCTATTTACAGGAGTATTGTATGCCTCCCCCAGAAGGTATATAAGTAGAAATACAGTACCCTGTGTCTTTAGTTTTTTGCCACCTTGCAACTGTCCTCAAATATAGTCTCTCTTCTTGCTCCTCTCTGCATTGGGTGTATACTCCTAATGGGAAGGACCTATCAAAGTCAGAGGCAGTAGGACAGCCATAGGGGTTACAACAAGTTCAACCCTCAGTGTGACCCTGTGACCCTCTGTCCATTTATTCCTAGTCCATTTGATGAAGTCACCATGTTGGAGCATAACAAAGGTGAAAAATTCTGTTGGTCCTTCCCCTTGTTGACCTTTGCACCAGCCTTCAAGCCAGCCTCAGCATCCTTCCCATCCCTGGGCCACCAGCACTTCTCCTTCAATTGGTTGCACTGCATGCAGGTGATGCACTTCTTATTGCTGTCCACAAGAAACTTGCAGACAGCCTTGGCCCAGGTACAATGAGTACAGCTGGGAGGGTTAAAACAAAATGAAAATTGCATTGAGAGGAATGAACTCACCTGGGGTCCATTACTACCATCTTCACCTCTGCACTGGCTTCATCACTACTGCCAGCCTCAGCTTTCTCCTTAGCCTCAGCCTTGTGCTTGCACTCAGCCTCACACCCTTCCTCCTCCTTGCACACCTTCTTCTCCTCAGCCTCCCACTTCATTCTCTCTGCCTCAACCTACTCCCTCTCCTGTCTCTCAGCCTCCAACCAGGCCTGCTCCTCCCACTGGGCTTGTTTGGCTGCCTTTCATCTTTTCCTCTCCTTTGCCTTTGCCTTCATCATCTCCTCATCATCACCAGTATCATATTTGATGGTGTTGTGGGTCCAGTCAATGATCTGGCCCTCATTGTTGCTGTTGGTCATGGTGGTTGGCCTTGGATTGGACATGATGGATGGAAAGTGAATGAAAGACACAAAGGGCTTAGCAAGCCAGGACTATCAAGTTTTTTCAAACTCAGCCACAATTCAGGCTCAGCATACTGCTCTCACAGGGGTCTCATGGGTTCAACCCCTATGAAGGGAGATACTGTCATAGCCATGCCTCAACCCCAGCTGGACTCAGCCTCACACTCATTCAGTCCAGCCTTGGCCTTGCCAAACACCTACCTCCAGATGGTTGCAGGTAGGCACTGCTTTGCAGTGTTCATATGAAGTATCATTTCAGTTGAGGCCAACCTAGCCTCATACCCAGTCTGCCCTTGTCTCTGTCCCAGTCTCTGGTCATCTTTGTCATGTTTTACTAATAGTCTCTTACCAATCATGTGACCAATCTTCATGAGACTGGCATTACCAGTCTCTGTACTATAGTTTGTCTCTAGTATATAAGCTTGTGGATACTCAGTCTGTACTCTTCAGTCTGAAATCAACTAAGTCTCATCTGAAACATCTGTCTTGGCCTCAGACTCAGACTGCAACCCATGCAAGGGAATAGCACTGCATCTCCAGCCACCAAGTCCAATCAGTCCCCTATCTGTTCTTGCTCCCCTTTGGTTTCCTAGTGCCCTGGCCTCATACCCAACTCAGACTCTGGACCAGTCTTGACCCCAGACTTCCAGACTTGACAAGTTGTCATCATGCTCATCAAACAATGCTCTTGGACCTCCTTCCAGAAGAACATTCTCCTTAGTACATATCCTCTTCCCATCAATGAAGATACATATATACAAATAGATAAACTCCCATTCACATTGTGCCAACAATCTGGGCCTGAATAATAATTACACTTGGAATGTTCATTATAAATGGAGAGAGCTATCAAAGGATACAACAACTAGCACTATCATGCAATTTCACTATTGTGCAATTGCCACATGTCCATCTCATTATAGATCACCTCCTCAGCTGGTCTTCCAATGACCATATTGCTCACATTAAGTCCATTCTCTTCCAGGTATTGATGGAACTTAGAAGGGTGTCAGTTCATGCCCAGAAAAGTAACAGAGGGCAGGAAATAACACACAGCTTTGTCTTCAGCTTTCAAACTGTCAGGTGTAAGGGGTTTTATCAGGAAAAGTATCACAATAACACTGAGAATGGCATGGCCACTACCAATCCAGAATGGACCAGTACTTTCCCCTTGCAGTTTTTGAACCACCAAAAGCTAAATGAACAAATCCAACTGCATGAGTAATTACACTTTCTGTTAAGTGCATCAAAACACACCATCAATGATTTGTGGGAAGACTATAGACATTGGAGATCAGTTTCTAGAGCTGGATTGAGCTAGTCTTTGTGTGGTACATACCCCATAGTTCCAATAAAAGCACCCAATTTGCCAACTGTAGCTGCAACACTGTAGATATGTCCACTGATATGGGCTGTAGGGACCAATTTTTGCTGGAAGAACATGGAGGCAACTGCCAGGGCCTGTTTTATGGCAACATATAAACAGACCTGTCAACCATGTTATTCAACTCTTCAGACTCACCAACTTCACCAAGAGTTAAGAATATTCCATAAACAACCTGTATAATGCTTGAAAAGGTACACCTATGAATTCAAACTCAATGGGCTTACTGCAACATGTGGAAATATGGTTAGTGAGTGGGGTGTGTATGGTGCCCAAGCTGAGGCCAATAATGGCCTGCAGGAGTGAACCAACAATCTGACAAAACAGGATCTGAATGTACATGGGTCTGGCAGTGTGCACTACATACCATGGTTGTCTTCACACCAAGGTAATCAATGAGAAATGTGCCAAGCACAGTTCCTGCAGCAGAATCAGCTCACAACAAACCAGAAAGGCTCAGCAGATAAGGCACCTGGAATACAGAACAGACTACTGGAATTAAAAACAACCTGTACAATAAAAACTAGACAGGCTTACTTGATGACAACAGACCATCCCAACACAACTGATAGGGATGAGCTGCCCCCTGTGACACTGCAATCCAATCAGTGCCAACTGCCTACTAAGCATGAAATACTGTACAAAACTTACTTGTTGATAATCATGGAAGAGTATATGGCAAACTATGGCTAATCAGCAGCCCATTGACATAATGGAGTCATCTTACTGGGTACCTGGAAATCTTGCATCAGTGCCATGCCCCTCATGAGCCATTGACATGCACATACATTATGAAATCATAAATAAAACTTGTGATACCACAACAATTGAATATCAAATCACCACCCAGAAGTCAACATGACCACCCACCATGCCAATGACAACCCAAGAACACTTTTCCAGTACCACTTCATGGTGAGCCATTTCAGGATATGCACAGACTCCAATAATCTGAAGTAGGATTTGGGCATATGCCAGAGCAAGCAAGGCATATGATACAAGGGAGCCACAATCTTGCTTGACACAACAAATGCAGGGATAGCACCAAAACCAAGTGAGAGACCACAGACCAAATGGAGGTGCTGCTCTCCAAAGCTAAGTGTGATAAGATAGAGGTCATCACAATGTCATGAGAGACAAGCTTACATCCAGTACAAGACAAGTGGGACAAAACCAGAAAGCACAAAACCAGCATTGATCACAGTTTCTATTGAGGATGAACATGGACATTGACTGAAGAACCACACACATTACTCACTGATACCAACCACCAACCACCAGTGCTGTGCACTTTCAGTAATGCCATGCTGCCCCAGTGTCCATTCTGAAGCAAAAACTGAACCACAAGTGTGTCCTGCACCAACACCCATGCCAAGCAAGAAACTTTACAAATGCATGATTGGAAACAGCTTTGGCAAAGGGGGACCCATGCTTACTGTGCACAACCAAGCATTCCAACGAAATAGCCAACAATAAGACCCTCCCAACTGCCTACCAGACGACCAGGTATTGTGGATGCAATAGTGACTGAGAAAGATACAGCTACCTGTATGCAGCACTTAGACACATAAATGAAGTCATACACAGTGCCGCACCATGCGCAACAACACATCCACCCTGAGACTACCATCAGAAACAAATGCAAAGAGCATAATGAGCACAGTCCCTTTTGGGGGTTAGTCTGCTTGTGATGCAGGTATGGAACAAATTGTGACTTGCCAGCAAACACAGCACCTGTCAACACATTGCTGTAGTGTTGTAGCCCAAACTGGCTGGATATTCACGAGACAATACTGATGGTAGTCAAATAGTGCCTTGTGGACACCTCAGTCAAGGGATATACATACGAGTGATGACTGTGATAGCGAAGTCAGATTTGGGTAGAGATCAGAGCAGGCAGAACACACGCACCTGCTCCAATGACTGCAATGTTGTAGCCTACCCAAAGTCAGTGCATCTTTAAGGATAAATAAATAGACAAACAGTACCATTCGAAAATAGTGCTATACCACGGCTGATAGGCCAAGTGAAACTTCCTGTTAGTTCCACGAACCGGTGACAGAGTGCGACAAAACCTTACAAGTATCGTAGGCCGAATAATATAGCTGGAAGTCGTTCATTTGTTACAGCCATTTTGTAGGAAACTGATGAGTAAGTGGCAAAAGCTTGAAGGATGATGAGTCGAACGAAGCAGGGTACCCGGGCAAGGTGAGCCTTGCTCCTTATAACGGTAAGCGTGTTATAGGAGCCAACACATCCACCCCTTAAAATGACCCCTCTACTCCTTTATTTTTTCAGGGTTCACTTCGCATGATGGCCCGTTGACGGTGAAGCTCGAAGGAAGGGCCGTCGTGCTTTCCTTCGTTACGTTACCAAGGCAAGATCATCATTGTCCCCCCTCGAGAGGTAGAATTTTTGACACCATTCATCATCTTGGAAGTTTCTGATTGTATGGATTTCTTGAAAGTAACCAACATCCGCTGTTAGCCCGAACCATTATATCTTGGTCATTCTACGAGCAAGAAAGAGGGTCCACTAGATGTCGTAGTACAAACGATCGAATCTGCAATGTCAACTTTACGGCGAGGGAACAAAGAGCGACAAAAGTATATAGTAGCACTGCGAGCGTACAGATTTGTCGGGCTGTCCGAATGCTATGATAATATCCAAACGGCCGTGGTGACCGTGATAAATAACGAGCTCGATAGTCCGAAGTAAGGTATTCCCAGGGCTTGTGCACCACTCCACCCAGGCGGGACACCAAGGGCTGTAGTCGGATCGGAAACGTGATACGTCGACGTGACAGACTGGCCCTCTGAATTTGTGTATATCGTCGTATACGCATCGTAGACCTTCGGGAGAGCGGACGCGTTCACGGTGGGTGAAGCAAGAATGGGGAAGTAAGTGCTCGTCGCCAGTTCAGATGCAACTATTTCTCCAAACGTCGCTGGAACCGAGGTGTTGAACGTGTATGGTGGTGTGGTATAGGACGGTGTGGCCAGGACATAGTTTGGAAGGACCGTTGCGACGGTTGCTGATACGGACGAGAGGAAAGCAGAAACAGCGGTAGGGGATTCGACGGTAGCCGATGCATTCGATAGCCCATAGAGACCAATCATGGGAGGTTCCTCGTCATCGATTCCATAACTGCGAACCAACACGGCAATATACCCATTACACCAAGCAAACTGCGAGAGGTTCTTTCCGACTCACCTCCACACAGAGTACACTGTACGCAGGAACGGGGTTCCTGTGGACGCCTACAGTCAGCAAGGAGAAGCCAAAAAGGAACGTCAACCTTCACCGAGTTGCCAATCAACACCATCCGAACTCGGCGGTAACGCCTTCGGCCACGACAGACACAGGCCTGGGTTGCTGGCCGCAGGACCAATGATATAGTCGGTGGGCTGCAGCACGAATGTGTTGTTATCCCTAAAAACAGCGGTGTAAGTCTTGATCGTGTGATATAGAAGAATATACGTACCCAAAGGTAAAGGAAATGGTCGGAGATGAAGTACAGGGGATGACCCACTGTCCACCTAAAAGTACGTAAACCCCCTGATCGTATGTGACGTCGTTCATCACTTACTTTCATCGACAAGCCGACTCCCCGGAATGAGACCATAAAACCGCGTTACCTGCAATTAAACCCGGCATTTCAGTTCTCTCCGTGGACACTATAAAATAGCACCAACATCTTGATATGGGCCATAGATACCAGGTGTCCCACTACAGGAAGGCGTCAGTCAACGGCCTCACGCACTTGCAAAGAAAGACGACTAACATGTCCAAGAGTGCAACAGAGGAGTTGTCGGTTGGGGTAGGATACGTGGGTATAGGGGTCAGACTCGTCCCGTTGACCTGCTCGAACGGTAAGCAAACGAAGCGCTGAAATGCTCGTAGTGATAGTACGTACCGAGAATCCCGTCATGTAGATGGACCAGTAGAAGTATCCCGACGTGTTCGTCTGCGTACCAATCGGGGAGAAAGGCACCACTTCGTTCCAAATGATATTGCTGACATTCTGGACGACCGAAACGTCGATGGCACCTAACATAGCATCGCGCATCGCGTGGTCAGCCGAGCCGAGCCGGTCAAGGTGCGACACCCTCCCAAAGAACACGCACCAAGGGCGAGGGTACCGGTCGCATTTCTCGTGAGACTCAATCCGAATATAGGATACTGGAGTATGCCTTGCGAAGCCAGCGTCGCAAAGAACGGTGTGGCTACAAGCACCCGAGGGGGGAGGGAGGGGGAAAAAAGGATGTCCAAAACACGTTTACAGACCACGCATACACGCCCAAGACGCACCATTCGCAGTAGAAGCATAAATTTCCGATAAACGAGGAAACCCGAGCCCCAAAATCCCGCTAATTTTGTCGACCAGGGTGACGTTGGAATTCGTCACCAAGCCTTGTGGTGAGGGTAAGCAAATGTAAGTTGTCGACGGCGCGACGAACGTGAGGATTCGGATATCGTGCCCACAACATCCTAGCTTACTCACCTATAGCCTGATTGGGGGCTGTCACGTTCGAGATTTGGATTGCCTCTCTAGCTATGAAGCCAGAAGCAGCTTGATGATTCGTTAGTCGGTTAATTCCTCCGCTGCACTGCACGCATAAATAGATGCGCCGTACCTGTTGTATCCGCATAACTGAGATTAAATACGCTGGCGTTGTTGTTCACACTGACGAACGTCGGACTGTCGTACTGTAATGGGTATCTGGGGACCTGCATACAGGTCGGAGTCGTGCAGGCAGTCGATATGAGCCAGGCTAAACTCCTCCCACAAAAAAAAAAAAATCAAACACGGCTCGACGACGAGCCGAAAAAGAAAGTGGACGCACAGTCAGCAGACCCAGTGTCGATGGTTGCACGAAAGGTGATCAGGCCAGCTTCAAGAACGATGTAGTACGTCCTATGTAGGAGCCCAATTAACAGTTTGCGAGAGATATGTATGTAGGCCATATATTAACCACGCACCCGTCGTCGGCCAGAGTAACTGGAGTTACTCCAGATCCATTGGGCGAAGAAGAGTTGGTGCCGTTTAGCTGGCCTCCTTGTTGAACGCTCACGATATTCGCTAGGGAACGTGGTGCGCCGATTCCTTGACAGAGTACGCAGTGCAGTAGTAGTAGGACGGCGACGGTGGGGAATGACAACCACTGCAACGACATCTTAGGCTTTTTCGAGCTGCTTTCTTCACGGATACATTCGCAGGAGGCTCCAAGCCCGAGTAAAGAGTGGATTAACTGATCCGGGATATGGTTGACAATAGCCCGTTGCGGGGAAGTTGGGCCGCAGCATGGGAACCACGACGACCCAAATTTGCTAAGCCCCTAATACTGAACGACTACAGGGGACTTACTGCAACCCGAAGATGATGTCGGCCGCATGCACGAGAGACAGAGCGAAAGTTCCACTGGAGTAAAGAGACAGGTATCCAGAAACATACATAACTACACTTGGTGTGGGGTAATACATCCAACAAAGTCACAGGGAGTCAAGTACGAAGAGGTGGCCATACTAAAAGAGAAATGGGAAATAGAACGAAAAAAAAAAAACGAGTGACAGGTATAACAAGTATTCAATATGACATAAAAACGAGATGGAGCGGGAATTCTCCAAGATAAGTAGGTAGAGGGAGGACACCATAACGCAATCGATCACCGTTTTGCAAAAACCTTTTTAAGAAGAGCCAAAACTTTGGGTACGTTCAGCTGAACGTACTCGAGATCTAAGAGGTGTTTGTTATCCTTTTGCTATAAGCATAGGGTGAGAAAAGCGTTCTTCCAGGAGATCATCCAGAACCAACCTTCTCTAGTAAGTCGTCTATCTTGAGGTCCATCTCGAGGATGGCTTTCTCGCGACCTTTATAGTGTAATGATATGATAAACGCCCCCGGCGAAGGCGACGTGATGTTAAAGTAAATATTAGGACGCCTATTGACCAACTCGGTAAGAGTGAAAGCGATCAGCAACGAAAGCACTCACCGGCTATCGGGCACGTTGCTCTCGACGATGATACCCTCCTTCTCAAGTTGCGCATGCGTAAAGCGATACGGTCCAAGAACGACAGCTTTCGAAGGCTTTCTCTCCTTGCCACCTACAGTGATAACTCCAACACCTATCGTGCTGCCTTTATCCTTGCTAGTCGTTAGGCGGACATTCTGCAGGTAAGCCTTGTACTGCTCGAGTTGGGTACGCAAGTAACTGTTGTGGTCGCAGATCGTCTTGTATACTGCCTCGAGAGACTTGGTTTCGAGCAGTACCTTCTCTCGCAAATTGCCAAGGTGGGCAAGCTCAGCAGCAACTTCTTCTCGCATGAGCTTGTGCCCATCCGCCGAGTCGATAATCTTAATCTCCTCCAGCTCGCGAAGCATCTCCTTCACCTTAATTCCCTTGCGAACGAGAGTTGCATCCCTCGTGGTGGCTGCCCGTTCCGCGATGGCTGCAAGGTTGTACGGCTGCTGGTCAGCAGCGCCAGGGAGTGAACGTATGAGTTGAACGAGGATGGACTTGGTCTCCATATAGAGCATTTCGCTTTGTGAGACAGAGTCCATGAGAGCGGTGTGCAGATCTTGTACGGGGGTCTCCCAACGGCTGTAGAGATTGAGTTCGATGGTACGATTCTCTTTTCGGGGGACTTGGGCGGGTGCTGGACCTAGCTCATCCGTAAGGATACGGAGATGTTGTTTGTCATTTGGAGACTTGAAACCAGGGATTAACAAGCGAATGGTCCGAGAAGTAGCATGGACTTACGAGGGTTTCGATGTGCTGTAATATCAGGGAGTGGGTGTTGTACAACTCATTCATGGTGATGTGGATGACCAAATCTTTCTTCGATAAGGCCATGTATTGATCCATCTGCGGAGAGAACGGATGAGATGATTACGAGCAGAACGAAGCAAACGGCAATCACCTCGAGAGATTCAAGGAAGTCGCCGACCTCGCACAAATTATTGAGGAATTGGTTGATACGGGCCTTGTTGTTCTCCACGAACGGATTTAGTGTGATCATGTATGCTTCTTTGGCGTAAGAGGGCTTGTTGGCGAGGTTCTGAAGCATTTTTGCTATCTTTGGAGAGGGTGAGGTAACGTTCAGCGGAAACGGAGATTCCGAAAACGTACCAGGGTCAGCGTTCGACGGGGATGCTTTGCGGGCACGGAATCCACAAGCATGTAGGCTTGAGGCGTAACTATCGCAGGGTTGATGAAACGCAAGAAGAAGAAGCCTCCTATTAAGGAACATATGGCGTAATCCGTTGCTTCCGGATACTTGCGCTGGAAGGCTGGCTAAGTAACGTGAACGCCGGGGTTCGGTAAAAGCTAGAACTTACCCGGGTCAAGCTTCTGATTTGCTTACATATCCACCGGATGCCGTACGGGACGGTCTCCATGCTTTCGATGATAGTGACAAGGAAGCTATTGGCGATTTCCATTAGCATCGTGAGGCGTGGTGCGATAATGGCCTGGACGTCCGGGTTCTCCGCTGCGAGCTCCGGGGGTACACCACGGGGCAAATTTGGCGGTAGTGAGCCGGTCTCCTCTTCAATTTGATTGATCATCTGTTCGTAGACCTGGACGAAGTGGGTTGGTCAACTACGTGGAGGTTGCTGAGGCGCAGAGGAGGCATATACCTTGACGGGGTTAATCTCGAGATTGAGATCTTTGTGCTCTATGAGGCTGTTAATGCGCTCTGCGAGCACCGACTTGAGATAGCTTTGGCCCGGGCCTCGCCGAGTGTAGGTGGTCATCATGCGGGAAACCGGGGTGTTGGCGCGGAGGAGGGATCCAAATTCAGTTGCGGTCTCAAACTGTGCGGATAGGACGGATTGGAACATGGTGAGGAGTAAGTGTTCTTCCCGGCTTTCGTACTGGTTCCCGTACAGCGTGAACATGACCGTTTGGAGAAGGGTGTCGATTTCGGAGAGGCTGACAAGTCGACAGAGGGCTGCGATATGACGAGGTTCTGACTGCAAAAGGAAAAAGAGGTTCGAGTATTGCTGAAGTTTACGGTCGTCTGGGTAGTGACCCTCCGTCGGATCCACTTCCTCGAGTGTTCGTTCCACTTCGCGTTGCTATCCAAATATCCATGAGCGACGGGGAGATAGAATTAGCGTAGACAGTCACACACTTCGTCCTCTGCCATGCGATTGTGAATGAGAAGTGCTATTCTGGAGTCGAGATAGCGGACGTCGCGCTCGAGAACGAAATTTTTCTTTGACTGGGAGGATATCTTTCCCTTGAGGTCCCGTAGCCGTTTCTGGGCTGTACAAAGAGAGGGTTGTGGTGTCGAAGTAGCATGGGATGAGCAGACGCACCTCTTGCGAGATCGTCTTCGACCTCCACGTCCTGCTCTGCAGCCATGCTGAACAGCGCGGTCACGCTGTATCGATTCGTGTTTCTGTTCGTGAGTCGTCTTCCCATGACAGATCCCGGGGAGGTCGGTTGTTGGTCAACGAAGGCCATAGCAGTTGTTGCGACAGTTAAATTGATGGTTGGATTGAGGTGGGCGGTGTCAAAAGATGTTGGCCACCGTCGTGGCAGGAGAGATGGATGATGGCCGGGATGTACAGGCTGAGCTAGCGGGTATAACAACAAAGAACTGATAGTGGGGTGGAGGTGGAATGCAGTGGCTGGGCGCTTGAAAAAATTGATTCACTAATACTCCATGCAACACCCCGCCACGTATGATCTACTCGAGAAGCCATCGATAGTACAGCCTCCGATGATTGGTACGGTTTCGATGGGTACTGGACACTGCAGTGCAGAGCTCTGTACCGTAGGGACTGTCAACTGAGATGGGTAGTCACTGTATTAGTACCACACTACCATCTGCTTCAGATCTCCACTACCAACATGCCAAACCACCTTGGCATCCCCTTCAAGAAGACCTACACCGCACCCATTCGTGCCAGCGTTCGCGATTACATCCTCCGCCACACAGAGGACCATCCAGATGCCTACAAATCAGACATCGCACAATGGGAGTCCCTCCGTGGTGCGTGCATGAACACGGCTGCGGGTGCCCCACACAGCAGCAACGTCGATAGCTTCCTGAAGTACGTCGTGGTGCAGCCACGCGTGCACACGCAAACGTTTCGATCTGACCAGTGTGACACAGGTATCATGCCCAACTCGTATTCATCCTTGCTAAACTGCCATCAGATGTCAGCTTGAATACGCTTTACCCATTCCATGACCTCATTCATATCTGCCTCAGATAAACCTAGAGATCTCTTACGTTCACCCGTTTTCCGCATCGGGATCCATCCCACTGACGTTGCGCAGTTTGGCGTTCGAGAGAGCGAGCGTCCTCTTCAATCTGGCGGCACTGTACTCACGGCTAGCGACCGCAGAGGACAGATCCAGCCAGGATGGCTTGAAGCGTGCGACCACTTACTATCAGGTTCGCTCCGTTCCATCGTACCTTCGTTATCTACACGTTCTAACCGGCAACCAAACAGAGTGCGGCAGGGACCCTGTCATATCTAAGCTCGTCTGCATTGCCAAAGTTGCGATTTCCAGCAGACACGGAAGAAATCCCGACAGACTTGACAGAGCCCTTTGTGAGAAGCCTGGAGAATCTGATGCTCGCACAGGCGCAAGAATGTGCATGGCAGCGTGCAGTCGCAGGCAAGTCTCTATCCCTAGCGGTCGTGATTTTTCTTACCTGCACCAGACCTCTACAAGAACGGGCTTATCGCTAAATTGGCGGCGGGAGTAGCTTCTCTTTACACTTCATCGTTGGAGGCGATACGCTCTGCTCCATCAACAATCTCTAGTTCATTGCCTTCTGTGAGTGGATCGCCATAACCGGATCCTATCCTCATGGCTTGAAAAAAAAGACCTGGGTGACTCACTTAGAAACCAAACAACGTCATTTCCGCGCAGCAGCACAATACAGGAAAAGTATAGACGAGCTCGAAGCTAATAGGTACTTCTCCCAATCTCATCCTCTACTTTCCTTCACCGAACCGGGGGGTTACCAGATACGGTGACGAATTACGCAGACTAATGGATGCAGAGGAAGAAGCCAAGAAGGGATACAGCCTAGCCAAACGCAGTTCTGTCGCACCAGCAGTAATACAAGACATTAAAGTGAGCACATATGCCCCTTCTAGAACTTCTCTGACACACAACACAACCTAGTCTTTGCTAGACGTCCTTCAGAAAAACCTTGGGCGTGCACAACGTGACAACGACCTGATCTACCATTGCAACATTCCCGCCTCCACCGCGATCGATCCAATACAAGAAGTCATCATGGTAAAGAGCAACGTTCCCCCGGGTTTACTGGACCCAAAGAGTCTCATCGGTAGTGGCGGCATTCTTTTTGACGACATGCTGGGATGGGGAGCTCGGGAAGCCGTCAGTAAGTCGCTTCCAGTAAGAAACCCGGTGACTGCCTGACCACTGCAGACATATACAACGACAATAAGCAAACATTAGTTAAGGAGCGGGTCGTTGAAGCCGCTCAAGTGCTTGACGACGAAGCAGACCGGTTCGTGTCTGACGGATGAGGCGATGTTGATTACTCACGTCTAACCAGGCTTTTGCGTTCGCTCAATCTCCCAGCCTCTCTCGAAGCACTGGAACGACCTATCGGACTGCCTCCTAGTTTGTTGAAGAAGGCTGAGGAGGTCCGGCTGGAACAAGGACCAGATAGAATCGAAGCATACCTCGATGACGTTCAGCACTTGGCCAGACGCGCGATGTCATTACTAGACGAGGCAAGGAGCGTCCATCCCCTCATTCTCCATCTTCTAACCTCTACTAACAGGCCATGGATATCCTGGATAGCGAAGCCTCCGAGGACGAAGCCGCACGCAAAGAATTATCCTTGTCGAGACCACTTTCTCACGAAGCTAACCGGGAGCTCGTAGCCAAGCAACAACGATACAGAACCGTCCTTCTGGAAGCTGCTCAGAGTGATGTCACTGTGCGCGAGAAATGGGAAGAGTCGGAAGCTGCTATTGTCAACTTGACCTTGGATGAGGTGATTCGGCGAACGCATGGTAACTTGACACGCTCTGATTATTCTTTTTTTAGGAGGAACTCGAAGCTTTGGTGCCGTCAACGACGGTGTCTATTGACGGTAAAGTCAGCATGGCGAACAATCAGACCCAGATCTACGCTCGTGCACTCCGCGCACTCCTGGAATCCCTAGATGATATCAGGAAGGATTGTAGCCAACTGGTTGCGAGGGCACAAAGACTAGTGGAAGCGGACGACATCAAGCCTAGCATCATTTCTGCGGCTAGCAACTTCAATCGCTGGGAAGAACTAACTCCCGCGATGTTCGTGGACGTGTCAGATGCAGAACTTGCAAAGTATGATAGGTACATCCAAGGTTTGGCGGAAGGAAAGAAGAAACAAGAAGGGATCCTCGAAGCTATCAAGGTCTGCTTTTGCCTGACACTAGCATGTCTTTTTCCCTGCGTCCTGACATAAACAATCACAGTCTAAGAACGAGCAATTCTTGTCGTCTCGTAAGGAAGATCCGGCCGTCAAAGACCGCGAGATCGTCCTGCACAACCTAGACATGGCCTATGCCAAATATCTCGAGATCACCCGCAATTTGGACGAAGGTCGCAAGGTACGATGCGTCACCGTCACCGCCATTTTCATAAGTAGCTGTACTGATTGGTCACCGTCTGCTAATAAGTTCTACAACGAGATGGCAAGCATCCTTCTGCGGTTCAAGGAGGCGTGCAGACTTTGGAGTAATCGGCGAAGTCAAGAAGCACAGTAAGCCAAAATGAAAGCAGCGTGCCCATGGTTACCTTCACAGCCTATTATCGCAGGTCGCTTTACCAATTGTTCCAGTCCCTTTCTATCCAAGAGGAACCTAAACCTCCGGAGCAGGAAAGTCCGGATAAGCCAGCAGAAACCTCTGTACCCGAACATCCTAGTCCTCCTCAAAGACATAAAGCGAACATTCCATCGCTGTCCTCGACGGAGTGGGAGCCGCAGGAATTCCCTCCGGCGCAACCATCTACGCCCGTCCGTAGTCGACCCAAGCAGAAGGCGAACCTACCGTCATTATCATCCCCTGAATGGGAGGCACAGGAACCGCCTACGGCACCGACACCCAGTCACCCGAAGAAGAAGAAAGCCAATTTGCCTTCGTTGTCATCCCCGGAGTGGAAGACAGAGGGCTTGGCACCGCCCCCTTCCTCTTCCCCTGAACCTGAGCGTCAGAAGCCCTCAACGAAAAAAACCTTGCCATCACTGTCCTCGGCGGAGTGGGAAACACAAGAACTGCCCCCGCCACCGCCGCCTCCACCTGTTACAGAGAGAAGAGGTGCTAAAACACCAAGGAAACAGCGGCGCTGACGCAAATGCGACCGCATGCGGGAACGCGTTTTGATTAGTATACGAATATAAACACGGATTTCTGATCCCTTGTAACGGAAGAATAATGGACCGTGATTATAATGCAATTTGGTAGCGTAGGTTCGGATATCACCAGTATGACAAGGCTAAAAACTACTCGTACTATGTGCACAGCTTGACCGGTATCATCTGCGACTCCAATGCGACCGTCTCTACCACTCTAAGAGAAAGTAAGCTACATATATACATAAACAGCAAGTCAACGACAAGATTCCGCGGGGCACCCACAACGACACAAGGGTCGACCCTTTCGAATGGCATCAAGTTCAGCTTGAAGCAATTTCACTTCCCGTTCCCTGGCATTCAGTTCCTTTTCCAAGCGAGCGAGATCCCTCCTCGCCTCCGCTCCAAGCCGACCGTTCGCGTATTCCTGAACCCCGCATCGCCGACCGTTTTCGATCCTCTGTTGCATCACCCAGTTCTGAACGGCCTGTAGTTTGGCTGGACGAGGAGCTCCAACTCGCACCTCGACCTCTGCCACGACTCTGCTAGGACCTACTGGTTGGCTGGATAGACTCGCAGCGGCAGGCTGGATGACTTGTGTTACAGTTGAAATATCGATCTCTTCATCCTTAACAGAGTCCATGACAAGAGGAACAATTATCTCGTCATACGACTAAAGAGTGAGGGGGAGAAGTTTGCATCTCAACAGCCTCACCCTGAGATATTTACTGGCACACACCTCAGATTCGCTCGTTCCCCAGTCTTGAACCCTCCGCCGTTTAGCTGGGGCACCTTGGCAGCCTCACTCGTCACTATTGCTGTGCCATTCGGGTCGTTTGCACGCTACCTCTTCATGGTGGCCACTTGCAACCTCCGGAATCAATGTCAGTTGTACAGCATTGAACATCGAAGGGTCGCGAAGGCGAACAGTGATTGGCATCTGGGAGCTGCCTGGAATTCCTTTGAGGCTAACCACACCCACCTCAGACAACGGCCGCTGGGCACGTTGGTGCTCTCGGCAGCGCCCGTATTTCTAGCATTATGTACAGCGATGAAATGAATTATTTGTCGTAGTTTATACTTGGACTTGGTTTGATACTTCGAAGAAAGGGCACCGCGAAATGGGGATTGAGGTGTACACACACTTCAATTCGCGTTTCGCGGGTCTCTTCGGAGTCGGTTCTGAAGGGAAAGGTTCGGTCTGATAGGGAACTGCAGGCCTAGACCGTGATCTAACCAATCCAGCCCTGTTTCACCTGCGGTGAGAGTCGGCCACGAAATTCCTGGACGCATCCTGGCCCAGGTCTGAAAGTTGTTTTGTCAAGTATGTAGGTGACTACGGTGTTAGTAAGAATTACAGTCTACCTTCGTACACGTGATTGCGATATTCACCGTCACGCGTCAGGCATACAACCGGGAACTCGCGTCAAGTACTTTCTGCACTTCCGGCCATCCTTACTGCTCATAAAATATATGAAGAACGGTCGGGACAGTGGGAAGGTCACTCTTCAGAACAACCCTTGCCGTGCACAACGTGACAATGACTTGATCTATCATCGCGGCATTTCCCCCTCTACCGCGATCGGTCCAACACAGGAAACCGTCATGGTGAAGAACAATGTTCCCCCAGGTTCGTTGAACCCAAAGAATTTCGTTGGTAGCTGTGGAATTCTTTTTGGCGGCATGCTTGGATGAGGAGCTCGAGAATTCGTTAGTAATTCGATTTCACATAGAGGTCCGGTGAATGTGAATGCCTAACCTCGTAGACCTATATAACGACAATAAGCGAGCGATAGTCAGGGAACAGGTCGCCGAGGCCGTTTTCTCACAAGGTTGCCTGGGAGCTCATAGCCAAAAAGCAATGATACAGGAGTATCCTTCTCGAAGCTACCGAGAGTAATGCCACTTTGTTTGACCGTAGACGAGGTGGTTTAGTGATCGCGCCGACCCGTCCTGATCATTTATTTAATCTGTTCTTTCTTTGTAGGAAGAACCGAATGTTCGGTGCCATCGATTACGATGTTTATCAGCGGTGAAGTTAGCATGGTGGCCAACTAGGCTTGTAAGTCCCGTGAACTCTTGGAATCGTTAAATAATGTCAGGCAGGATCGTAGCCAGCTGGTTGCAAGGGCACGGAGGCTGATGGAGGTAGACGACATCAAAACTAGCATCATGTCTGTGGCTAGTGGCTTTAATCCCTGGGAGCAGCTGACCCCAGCGATGTTCGCCGATGCGCTGGATGCAGGACACGCGAAGTACGATAGGCTTATCCAAGGTTGGACAGAGGGAGACAAGAAACAAAAAGGGATCCCCGAAGTTACCGGGCTCTGCCTCGCCTGTTCCCTGCATCCTGACTGAGAGAATCGCAGTCCAAAAACGACCAATTCTTGCTGTCTCGGAAGGAGTACTAAAGACGGGAGATCATCCTGCGCCGCCCGGACGTGGCCTATGCCAAATATCTCGAGATCACCCGCAATTTGGACGAAGGCCGCAAGGTACGACGCGTCACCACCGTTTTTGTGATCACTGTTAAGTTCTACAAACGAGTTGGGAAGTATCCTTTTGTGGTTTAAGGAGGCCTACAAGCTTTGGAGTATTCAGCGAAGTTAACAGGTACACTAAGCCCTAAGAAAGCAACACGCTCACGCCCCTTTCCATCCAAGAACGTAAACTTCCAGAGCAGAGAAATCCGGGTAAACCAGCAGAAACATCCGTATGCGAATATCCCAGTCCTCTTCTTGAAAGACAGGAAGCAATCACTCGACGGAGTGGAAACCGCAGGAATTCCTTCCGGCTCAGGCATAAGGCAAGCCTACTGCCGTTATCGTCCCCTGAATTGAAGGTACAAGAACCGCCTACGGCACTGACTCGCAGTCGACCGCAGAAGAAAGCCAATTTGCCTTCACTGTCGTCTCCAGAGTGGAAGACAGGCACTGACACCGCTGCCTCCCCCTGAACCTGAACCTGAGTCCGAGCGTCAGAAGTCCTCAACAACCATGCCATGATCGCTGTCCTCATCAGAGTGGATGCTGCAAGAAATGCCGCCGCCGCCACCATCTATGACAGAGAAGAGGCACCAAAACGTCGGAGAAACAACGGTGCTGACGCAAACGGGACCTGCGGGAACTTTTATTGATTAGTTTCCGAATACGAATATTTGATTCCGTGTTAGCAGAAGACTATTGAATCGAATTGGTATGTAGCGTAGGCTCAGATCGACATCGAGAGACCTGTCTGCGTCCCAGTCACCATCCCGTGCCGATCATACATTCCTTGTCATTTAGTGCACCCACAACGGCTGTGGATTAACTACGAATGATACTACACATCCGTTCGTGTACGTGAAGATATCCTTCTCTCGCACTTTAACAGAGCCTGGTTAAGCTGCATAAAAAGGGCCAATTAATGATAAGATTCTAAATGGCAAAAGGGCTGACCTTCCTGTAGGTTGTTGATTCCAGCTCGGAGTAGTTTTATCTCCTGGGCTATCGATTCCGTGGTCGACAATAACTGGGTGAGAATATTTGATATTCGTTCCGCCTCTGCCACAGTTCTTTCTCCATGAAGCCTACTCTCCAGTGTCTGGGTCCGGGATTGCTGATCGCTCCCTTTGGTATTCCGTCGCATACTGAGATCCCGAACTTGTTTAATTGGACGGGAATGATGATTAACCTCTGTTGTATCTACTTGTCTGCGGGATTTTTTCTCAGTTGGAGCACGATGTCCATCTTGCTGGTAAGACATGACGCTGGAAAATCGAACTCTTCGGCGTTTACGTTTAGGGGCCCTGGCTGGGGAATTCTGCACAACTTTCGACTGGAGATCCTCCTCAACTTTAACGGCGTCAATATTCAGAGGAACAACTATCCCCAGGTCCTCTTCCATCTTGATCCGGGGCTCGGACCGTGGCTAAAGAGCGAGGGTTAAATCCCAACAGCTGAGGCCTGAGATATCCGGCGCACGCACCTTGGTCGTCCCTTTAGTGGTGTCATTTGTCTCACCTGCTCCAAGCTTTCTCTTACAGCGGACTTTCGACTTCTAAAAGCGCAAACTATTCGATATCAATGTTTCGTGCGCCGCAAAGCTCTTACCTCTGGGCTGCTCATGGGTATGCTTCAAGGCTTCTGCCGCTTACCCAACGTGCCCAGCCACGATGCATGACTACACTGGTCTTTGACCGGTGCGTGCATACTACACGTTGTTCATTATAGTAAGATTATTATGTACACATGCATGATTGCCTCGACTGGGCGACCTGCTCGGTCACACCTGACTTTCCTGAACGTAATAGATTTTTCTGTGCCATCGACGGCGCAAAACCCTGGTACTCCGATACATATACTGAGAGAAGGGTCACGAAACCACAAGTGCAGGTGCTGACACAAATACTATTCCATAGGAAAAGCGCTGCCAATGTATCCGAGTATCTGGTAGGGCCCACCTGTACGCACTACACGGATTGACTTTCGTCGGAGTCGATAGAAGATCTTTCTTCTAGCATGTCCATCTTCGCTTGGTGGAGTAAGGTTTGCGAATGATGGATCACAATATAAGTGCCGACAACTACTGCTGCCAAGGCAGTAGCTATCGACAGCTGTCCACGCTCGCCATTCTCTATTGCACTCGTGGCAACCGTCAAAAACACGCTTGATGCCTCAACCATCTGTGCCGTGGCCTCCACCTGTGCTTCTGCTGCCTCTTCTATTAACAGTTTCGCATCGTTCATGTCTGCTTCTTCTGCCTTTTGTACCACCAGCACAGTCTTCACCCCTACCTGTCTGACTCTGTCTGTCATGGCGAGCAAGTCCCGTAAGAGGGACTGTGGTGTGGCCTGGCCCTGAGGTTGATCAACAGGCCCCTGATCCTCAGCCTCAACCTTCTTCCGCTTAGCTGGGGAATGTACAGCATCCACCTTGACAGTGACAGGGGTGGCACTCGAAGGAAGGGCTGTAGTAAGATCCTCTTCCTTCTCGACTTCGTGTGACTATAGGGCAAACGACTTACATCTAAGAGCCAGGGGTAGCATGTGCAAGCACCTTGGCAGTGTCACTCGTTCCTATTGTTGCGCCACCCGTGTCGTCTGCACGCTTTCTCTTACTGGCTGCTTTCGACCCCTAAAACGAAATGGCAATCATTCAACATTAATATTTGAGGTATTGTCTGGAATGATCACCTTGGAGCGCGGCATTGGCCTGGTCTACTAGGCTACCACTCACCTCAGACAGCGGCGACTGAGTGCGTCGGTGTTCTTGGAAACACGTAGTATTGGGCCAAGGTTTGCAAAGTTATGTATAGCGATGAGTTGTTTGCTGTAGTTGACACCTACTTACCTCGCGTGCATGAGTACGTAAAGTAGTGAGAGTTATCTAAAATCCCCGTAACCCGTTCCGCTGAAGCACCGAAGCCGAAGTACTGACCCACCATCCCGATCCTGGGTGAGGTGGAGCCGGGTCAACACGTGCTCGCCCAGCCTCACTAACTGTTACCCAGGTGAGTGGCAGGCAAGGTCTGCTGCATAACCGAGTTCGCCTCCCTCGTGAATGCATCCGGACGTCTCAGCGTTGATGTGGCTACGAACACATGATAAGTTCAACGGCACGGGGTACCAACGTCAAATCCTTACTTCGGGAAACCACCAGGTGCGCCATGACCTGTTAATAATTATGAACGCAAGAGTAGTTAATAACTATATACAAATGGTAGATTCCCGTTGGTACTTGCGCTCTTTGCATGTCGAGCGCAAAATTCCGAAGGGATCGCTATGAAGAATGCAACACTTACCAGGTCCAACGACTATGACAGTCTAGGTCGGTTTTCTTGATGATGCAGGTAAGGTGTGCGTAGACGAGGGTAAGACCGGGGCCCGTTCCCCAGTGACCAAGTAACGAGGTTCGATTTTTGCTAGAGGTCAACTCGCAGCCAAGCAATACATCGTCTTTCAAGAACTTGACATTGCTACAGCATCCCGGTGCCAGTTCGTAACAAAGGTATAACCGTCATTGATGACGTACCCGCAGCAACATAATTAGCAGTACGTCTGAATTTCCGAACGACCTCAAACTTTACATTGCTGATGGCAAAGGAGAGAACAGGGCTGACACATTGCCCACCAGTTTGCATCATGATCTTTTCCACTGTATTCAGTTGCCGTGACCACGAATGCAAACATGCTTTTCAGAGTTTTTCACATTTGTTGCCGTGGTAAAGTCCAAACGAACAAGAATGCTGGTCCGTTTGCCCTGTGCCACCCCATCTTGCGCCAAGCCAGGCCATCGTTCATACGAGTCTGTAATCCTTATGGCACTCACATCTTGGAGAGATACGTGGCGATGAATGATTGTATTGCTTTGAGTAGTATTGTCGAAGCCAGGTGCATCAACCGGCGCGACTATTGTCCCGTTCAGGAGGAACGGCTGTGACGTCCTCACGTCTTCCGTGCAACCTTCTAGTCACTTTCCTACCGGGAGATCCGATCTGTTGGCGCAATTGTATGACATAGGTCAGCACCCGCTGGGATCAGGCAGACTATCATTTTCAGGATTTACTCACTATCTATTTTCGGCTTCCAGCAGCACCAACGTCATGTGCAAGTCTAAAGGATAAGTTCTGTCAACATATCACTCCGAGGGAAAGAAATGAGGATTGTGTGCGTATATTGACGCCGTTGGCTGGCACCATATGCCTGATAGAACCTCACGCAGCGTCATGGGTCACTTTCAGCCTGAGAGACCACGCGAACGTTTCGCTGGGAACGTCAAGGTCGCTGTTGGGATGTTGGGGTATTTATATCCCCTCACCTTTTGCACGTTTCACCCCTGCGAGGGGTTGGGCCTAGGTCTCGAATCATCGTGGCGCCTGGCAATTGACAACTCTCAAGTTTACCTGACACTACAACGCCGATAGGAAACACCGGTTGGACGTTTCCTTACCAGATAAGGCTGGTTCTTTTTCTCGGGAACGGAAATTGGAGCAGTTGCTCTAGTCCACGTGTGACGAATGTGACTATCATGCTGACGATGTCAGCCAGTCCAGCCATCCATTCCTCATCCGTTTTCCTTCTCCTTTTCCTTCTGGTTCGTTTCCCTATCCTTCACCTGCCTCTGGGTTGGTCTGGCACTCCCCTGAGGGCCTATTGTTACTGCATGGATTGGATGGACTGGGAGATAGGCGGATCCACGCCAAGTCAACAAACATTAACTGGTTTCCGAATTCAAAGATTGAACCGCAGAGGCATGAATTAGCTTACAAAATGATAAACGTAGTAGTCCGCGCGAGTTCGTGTTTCCAGAACAGGGGATGAGATAGTACCGCGCAGCGTCCGCGATATGATGGCAAAAAGATAGGGGGTACACTTATCCTATCGTTGTATCGTGACACGGCAGAGTGTTACGACGAGTCGTGAATTCCATTCGGCCGTTCTATTGTGCAAGAAGGCGCTGAGAAGGGTGAAGAACTGCCGAGTCACGTCCTGGATGAAACACATGGAGTAAAAGTTTCGGGAAAGCTGGAGAGGTACGCTCCATCCGAGTGAAGGTGCAACGTACTATAGAATTACAATTCTTGTGAGTGGACGGTTTGATGCTGCACCGTCCAAGGTACTAGTCCCTGGAAGTGAGACAAGCACGACGATGACGTATAGTACAGAGCCATACTAGTATGTGCCTGGCGTCCACAGCGTGCCTGTGTGGTACACGCCAGCGCGTCAATTATGGCCAAGGACAGACGCTGTCTGCTTCACGACGCAAGACCCTATCAATTGTTGTCGGGCCAAACTGGGTGCTGTGTAGGGGGTTGCACTGCCCAGTGGAATAAATTCATCGAGTTTCGTTAGGGTTCTGTACCCCTCCTTCAAGTCACCACCACCATCGCCCATCATGTACAGCGAGAAGAAATCCAGTGAACCCAGTGAACCCAGTGTACCCAGTGATCCTCCCCCTTCATATGGCGACGTCACAGAGCCTCCATCGGGCTATCGCATCGCTCTCGATGCCTCGAGCCCGTTCCCTACCTCCCGTAAAGTCATGGAGCCCCCTTGTTTAGATGCCGATAGGCTATCTCCTGTCTACATCGGCTCTGCCATCTTCGAGAACTGTGTTCATCCGTGCAAGATCGCACCGTATTTAACTCCAGCTTGCCGCGTTCCGTATGGCGGCGTGGAGCTAGAGCACTTTGGCAGATATGATCTCCTTCCCTTCGACCCGGCAACAATGATCTGGGTTACAACCAGCCGTGGCCGGATCCCGTATGGCTTCAACCCAATACAAGGAGGTTATGAAGAAAATGGGACGCCACTGTATCACGCGCTCGGGGACGTAAACGGTGTAAAGGTACCGGGCAAGACTGGAACGCACTTGGTATGTGCCATCAGGGTTCGATGGATCGCTCTGTTTAACGATATCTCATCAGGGGGGATGCAACGTAGCATTCAATGGTGGCGAACATGTCATCACAAGAAACTATGAGATTCTGTACGTCAACCAAGCCTTTTTTTCGCAAACGGAATTAGAATTTGATTGTACGCTAGGTGCTGGAGGTGATATTCAGTAACTCGCATTGCAAGTGTCCCATGCAACAACTGGAAGAAGTGTGATCGTTCCGTGTAGTACATGCTAGTGGCCAGATTCGTGTACGATAGACTTAAAGACCCTCCGATCCATACACATCGTCTCTCATTGTTTCGCGCCTTAGTAAGTATCAGCAGGTGCGCCACACCGACTCAGTACTCAAGTACTCGAGATTCGTATTACGAACGAGGCAGAGGCATGTGAAGAAAAGAAAATCAACGAACCAACGTAGCGATACGCCGAGTACGCGTTTCGTTTCTGTACATTGGTTGTCGGACGCCAACAACGCTCACCTCAATTCCATTCTCTTCCAAGTACTGACGGAACTTGAAAGGGTGTCAAAAGAGAAAGAGGGGATAACGTGAACGTACAGCTTCGTCTTCGGCATTTATAATGTTGTACGGAGGGGGCTTCACCAGGAAAATCACCACGAGTGCACTGAGAATGGCAAGGCTACTACCAATCAAGAATAAGAATGGACCTGTATTGCCTTTCGGGGCCGTCGAACCGCCAAAGGCTTAACGGCTGTACATTCGCCGAGTGAGTGATATTGATGCATTGCCTGCGTGGAGTCCATAGTGGGACGACTAACAGCCATTGAAGATCAGTACGAAAACGTGGGCCGAAACGACCTTAGTGCGGTATACACCCCCGATCTTGGATAGCGCGTGAGGCACGATACACATAGATTCCACTCCTTCCGAGGATGTATCCTGTCAAGCTTGTCCTGGGAGGACACCCTGCGCGTTGCGATGTTCAGAAGTCACATGAGAGAATGCCCATTGAAGAGGGAAGCGGCGGTGCCCGCTGTCAATATACTAAAGCGCACAACCAAGGCACTGATAGTGCTAGGATGTGAGGAGACCTCGGAACGAGGGAGACAAGTCCGTTGTTTTCAGATGGTGTCTGCATCATCTTTAGGAGCAGATAACCTTGATGCTATCATTTCTGTAGGGGTCGCCAGCGGCGTGGGGGATTTCTGGACGTGTTGTCTGCTTGTGCCCAAAAGAATAATGCTCAGACGTATCGTCACTAGACTGGGAGCCAAAATTTGGGACGAACGCTCCTGCTGCTTACCTGCGCCACACCACACGGGGACATCCACTAGCTAGTTCAAAGGCAGCACAAGTTGGAAGAAGGTCGTGGGTGATAGTCCATCACAAAAACTACGCTATATGAAATTATCTCGCCCCATCGACTAATGCTTGGTTGGGATTGACTCTGTACCGCTTGTTGAGAATGTAGCATCCCAGCGCCTAAGGCTTGCGTACGGAAGCGCCAGTCCACGTGTTTTCTCGATGACCGTTTGGTATACAGGAAGCGCTGTGCGATGGATCTCGATCACGTTCTAAAATGCGTGTCATAAGGACGGAGGTAGCCTATTTCCAAAGCAACACACCTTTTCAAGATCGATCTTCGCTTCTGCACCCATCCGGGTCTCGCGGATAAGGTTAACTATCCATTTTTCTCCTTCGTCACGGGAGAGGTTCAACCTCTCCGACAGATCTCTGTAAATCAATTCGTCACTTGCCCACACGATCACCAAGTACAGAAACAAATACCCTATGTCGATCCGTTGGTGAATGCGGCAATATGCTTCGCTAATAAGATAACGGGCGTTATCCAAAAATTCATCCCTGAACTCTCCTAGGAAAAAGTCATCTGTCACGACTCGTTCCGCGAGCGATAGTTGTCGCTGAGCGGCTTCGAAATCGAATTCAACGTAGAGTTCCTTGAGGAAGGAAGTCACCGGGTCTTGATATTGGTACTCCTCCATTTGGATGACTTTGACAACCTCTCGGATAGAATACCGCACACGAGAAGAGGAGTTGTTCCCTCCCGCCGCAGACTTTCTGGAAAGGATTGCGGCTGCAGTGATATAGCGAAGAATCCACGGACAAGATGTCTGTATCGTATTCAAATATGTAGGAGATAGGAAAGTTTCGAGGAGGAGAGTGCGTCCTTGGGGATGATTGAAATACACGAAAAGTGACCAGTGGACCAGCCAAGTTCGTGAGTGGAGTTGCGCTAGAGCAGCCGGTTCGGTCGGTGTCGTCAAAAGAGACGAAGGTGATCTGGAGTCGACGACATCTCGCAAGGTATTGAGCTCTTCTAGAGCTGTGTCCCATTTTCCGGTGAGTATATCAGAGGCGAGTTTGCCCCAGTGAGCGGAGGTGTTGAGTTCACTGTCGGTCGAGAGTACACGGAAATGATACAAATAATCGGCTGCGCCACTGTAGTTTCCGTACGTATATTGGAATTGACCAAAGTTGTACAATGCATTGATTTGCTCCAAGGTGACCTGATCCGCGTTGATTGGTTAGTAGGTCAAGAGGTGATCAGAGGACTTACATTGTAATTGTCCTTAAGGAACGTCAAATTTTGGTTTTTGTCTTGACGTAACGCTTGGGCGACACCCGGATTTTCGATCACGTCCAGGACAGCCTGTGCCTCTTGCTGTAGTCGTTCATTTGTGGAGACGGCCGTCTCCCTCTTTCTGGAGAATTCTGACGCCGCCGGAAGCAGTTAGATGACAACGGAATGAATGAGATACAAGCACACACCTTCTGGAACTTCTTGATCAGGGTACAGCTGTTCGAACAGATTGACCGCGTAATCCACCATGTTGGTACCCTTGGCGAGTTCATATTGCGCAGCCTGTACCTGCTCGACTGGGAAGAGCTGTGTCTCCACCAGATGGGCGAGCAGTGGGAATGCCAAATGGCGATCCAAGTATGGAATTATCGTTTTTGTTAGATCGTGCTCGGCCATCGTCAATGATATCCTCGAGCTCTGCGATCCGTCTTAGCCGCCCGAAATTTTGCAATCGCCAGAAAGGGAAGGCAGGTGCACAGCCACTCTGCTACACGTCGACTCCTTGTGGACACTGCCTGGACCCCATACTCATATCCAACCACCATGACCACCATAACACAAAACCTGCCTTGGTTCATCGTCGATCTTGGTACAGCTGTCATCGGAGAGGTATGTGTCTCTCAGACACTCCTTACTGTGCATTAATATAGTTTCACAGAAATGCTACTCCTCTTTAGTCGAGAACTTAAATGTCGGAGACGTGGAATGTCTCAAATACTCGCTCTCTAAAGGCCTGGGTCTCGGAATCGTAGTCGGAGGTTCTATAATGAAGGTCCCTCAGCTGCTGCTGAGTAAGTAAGCCCCTCACCGTCATATTCTCGCTAAGTGGCTTCCTGCAGTCCTTTCTGCGCAGTCTGCGCGTGGCCTTTCGTTCTCCGCACACGCCCTCGAAACACTCTCTTATGCCATCACATCTGCATATTCATACAGGAACAATTTCCCATTCTCCACCTACGGAGAGAACTTATTTCTGACGATCCAGAATACCCTAATAACGCTCCTGATACTCTACTTCCCCTCATCGAGGCTACACAAAGCACAGGATTCTACGGGGAAAGTCATCCTAACATCTCTCGCGGCTGCTGCGTCCGGTGTCGCACTGTACATAATGCCCGCGGAAACTCTGTCCCTTCTTCAGCTGGGCACGCTTCCGCTATCACTGTTTTCTAAGATACCTCAGATCGCCCAAAATTCCCGTGCGCGATCTACGGGCCAGCTTTCAGCATTTGCTGTCATCTCCCAAATTGTGGGATGCCTCGCCCGTTTGTTTACGACTGCCACTGAAGTTGGGGACCCGATCGTATCTGCGGGGTTCGCGCTTGCACTGCTTCTGAATAGTGTGTTGGGGTTGCAGATGTGGATGTATTGGGGTAAAGATGGGAAGGATACCTACTCAAAGACAACTATAGGTGTTGTGAGCGAGAAAGAGAAGGAAGACTGGACTCCCGAGAGACACGGCAGGGTTGACGTTGTCGTCACGCCTAACTCATCTCCCGTGCCACGTCATACCGCATCACCTTCGGGGAGGAAATGGTCCCGTAAAATCGACTAGACTTCCCTGTATCTATCTATCTATCTGGAACGGATGTTATTTATCTATCGTAGCCTAATGCAGAATGCGAAGGTGACGTGCCGGATGTGTGCCTCTCGGAAGATGCCTAAAGAGAAGAGTTTCAGGTGGGTTTTTGGCTGTCTTGCCACTGCCGCCACCATGCAGGAGTCCGCGCCGCGCGAGTTTCTTCAAGTTTACGTAGCCTCTCTCCTTCTGCTTTGAAGAACCCCTGCAAGCCTGCTGCGACCTTTTTGGGATCGGTGTTCATCCGCGGTGGAAACTCGAACACCTTGATTTGGTCTACGTTGACAGTAGAAATGGTCTGGGTGGATGCATGAGCTGGCGAAACGAGTAGCTAGGCTTAGGTTGCACCTTTATCATACCCCTGATTCGAACTAGATCTTTCCCCAGTTGCATCCACTCATGGACAGGCGAAACCTCCTCTTCTGTCCACTCACGAACTCTGCAATCGTCCATATCGATAGATTGTTTACTTGTCAATCGCAGCGGAGCATCTCTGTTCTCGAAGAAGTTAGACATCCATGCGCACAAATCTTCGGAAGCGCTTGGGCGACTTCGGGGCGAGATGATGCATGGCGAAAAGCGGCATTTACTGCCCGAGACGCCCATAGCAATAAAGTCCTCTTCATCGAAGAAGTCTTGGGCTGGAAGTTTTTTCAAGCCAGGACTGTTAACGAAGTGAACGTAGTATCGTCCCTTGTATGTCAACTGTAGGTTGGAAAAGGTGAAAATGTGCGGCTGTGCAATGGATCTCACCGGGTCTGCATATGCCTCTACAACAACCGTTACACGAGAATACGGGCCTTGAGGTGCATATTGTAGAACGTACACTGGAATCAAAACGGGGTAAGCTGCCACCTGTAAACTATTGAAGATGACATCCGTTGCACATAAACGACACTCACCAAATTAAACTTTATCGATCGAGGGTCAAAGCGGAAATCATCGTCGACCTTGGTCGCGCCAAAAGAAATGTCACGTGCTCTACTGAGTAGCTCCAGTGGATTGATGTTGAATGGGAGGCAAAGGATTTCAGAACCGTGTTGATTTGCAAGGGTAGGAACAAATGGCTCTGTATCTCTGTAGGTAATGGTCTCGTCTCGAAGGGATACGCGAGCAAGCTCCGTGCCATTGCCTGACGAAACATTAGACACCAACAGCAACACACAACGGCGAATCCTACCCGGCAATTCTCTAGGTGGAAAGGATGGAACAAGAAATGAATATTAAACGACATGAACTGGCATTAAACCTACGCATGTTGAAAATGCACGGTGACGACCTATCCGAGGGCATGACGGTGCAATTTCATGAAGCGCTACAAGTGCTTACCTCAGGTGGGACGTCCGGGTCGGAAGAAAACCAGGCCTTAGCCTCTGCTTCTGCATCAACGCACCACGAGGGATAATACAATGCTTGTGTCCTCTCTGGTTGAATGGAGTTGTAACCCAAGGCAGGTATGTGCTTGGCGATGAAGGAGCTGCACAGGCAGCCTAACTCTTCCCGTATCGTCTGAGGCGAGAATGATCGCGTCACTGAGGCTGCAACTGGCCCTACGTGAGTGATAGCAACTTCTGGGGGGAACGCAAATGGGATTGCTGCAAAAGACATGGGTTAAAGACCTGCAGACAAAAGGATATCGGAAACCGAGTGACCTCTGACTTTTGGATGATAATCTGGGATGCTAAATGAATAGCATCTTCGACAAACTGGGGACCTTTTGCGTATGAACCCTGCTCGCGCCCACATTTCCCTAGCAATTCAGACCTCGGTGGATCGACGGCGGTGCGATGATCCGAAAAAGGCAAGCGTGGATCCCGGTGAAGTCACGTGTCAACTACATACGTGGTCGATATCCTCAAATCCGAAGTCAAACCCGCAAGTCATCGTCCAAACTTTGGATCGGGATGTTGCCAGCATCCCTTCTCGCGCTTTTCTTCGTGTTCTTCGGAGTTGTCGCTGCAGCTGCTGACTTGTACAAGGCTCTAGAGTGTTAGTCTAAGGCATGCTCAGGCTATACTATTCCCTGACATATCCCGGCGTGTCCAGTGTCCAAGCATGCAACGGAACAGGATATCCGAAAAGCGTACAAACGTCTCAGTCGGAAGTATCATCCAGACAAGAACAAGGATCCGGACGCCGAGGAAAAGTTCGTAGAAATAGCACATGGCAAGTAATATTGTTTCAGTGACTCGGCTTGCTCCCTCACGACGGCGCAGCGTACGAGGTATTGTCGGACGACAATGTAAGTCATATGACATGCTTCCTCTCCTTATATTGACCGTTCCTAGAAACGCCGAATATACGATCAATATGGCGAGGTACGTTGGTCAGGCAGACCACTTCACGTCAGACTTACGTCCACAACAGGAAGGATTGCGAGCACATGAAGGTGGTCAGCAGCACTATGCCAACCCTTTCGATGTGTTCTCGAGTTTCTTTGGCGGTGGATGTGAGTGTCGACCTTGTCCTTACCCGACCGAATTCACATCGGAACTTGGTTAGTTGGAGCGCAACAGACCCGTCGGGGACCAAACTCGATATTTGACATTGAGGTCCCGTTAGCGGATATGTAAGTCTTCGTCCTCAATTGCTTTCCGAGTTATTCATCGTCCTCTAGGTACGCAGGCGCTAGCATCGAGGTATGTACCAGCTCTGCACACGGAGCACCAACTGACCCTTTCCGTAGTTCACCATGAAAAAGAATATACTCTGCGACCACTGTCGCGGTTCGGGCGCGGCGTCCGACCGCGACGTGCACACCTGCCGCGGCTGTGGAGGATCCGGCGTCAAGGTCTCCAAACAGCAAATATTCCCCGGTATGTTTGCACAAACGCAATCCACATGTAATGAATGTGGTGGGCGTGGAACCGTCATCGTCAAAAACTGCCCCCACTGTAACGGGAAGAAGGTCGTCGAGTATATGCAGCCCTTTACGCTCGAAATACAACCAGGGATGCCAGAGGGTCATGAAGTCGTACTTGAGGGCGAGGGTGACGAGAGCCCAGATTGGGAGGCAGGCGACATCATACTGCGGGTACGGAGTAAGAAGGAACAAGGTGGTTGGCGGAGAAAGGAATCCAGTCTTTACTGGCGAGAGACGATTGGCGTTGATGAGGTGCGTTTCCTCGCTTTCCTTTGTGAGGACATAGCTGATGAGATCCGTAGGCACTTTTGGGCTTCAGACGTAATCTTACGCACTTGGATGGGCATGTCGTAGACCTGCACCGTAAAGCAGTAACACAACCTGGTGGGTGTCTCACTTCCATCTGTATACGATGTTCCTATTTACATACCATACACAGCATATGTCCAGGTAATAGAGGGAGAAGGGATGCCGGTCTTTGAACAATCACCCCGAGGTAATCTTTACATAGAGTATAATGTGATCTTACCGGTAGAACTCGGCCCTACCATGCGCAGAAGTAAGACCTTTCTTGCTATGTTCACCTCCACCAAACTAACTGTGAGATTTTCAGAGCTAGAAGACGCTTTCTATGGGCCGCCAAACCATAGAGACGAGCTATAGGCCATAATGTATCACCCTTACCACCCTATTTGCCCCTACGAAAGACTAGAACTTCTTGACAGGCTCCTGTCGATTGCGTGGATTGATGTGAGTCACAGTTATCTGAAGGTAGCAAGCCGCTGCACCGCGTTGCCGAAGACACAGAAAGATCCTCTTGCGTTGTACATGGATCAGATGGTTTTGTATGGCCAACGAGCACTTCTGCGTCTATCCCGATGACTCTGAGCTGACCTGCTGATGAATCGTATGGTGCAAGTACAGGGGGCTATCCTAGGCCATAGCCCGGTCTGTAATTTATAAACTTCGCCTTCACTCTTGCCACCTTCCACGTGGCTGGCAGTGGGTGGTCAAACCGTTGGTGCTCACACTGGGACTTGTGGCACCAAAGGCGGTCGTTTTTTCATAGGCTGCAATCGCGGATAGCACTTGAATGGAATTGCATCAGCGGTGCACTGAAGAACCTGGAAGCACGAGTCATGCTTCTCACCGAGTGTCTGATGACCAGCCAGCATTACTTGTGGACAGTCGCCCCCACTTACATAAATTAGATGACTACGCTAAAAAGTGGCTCAGATTCTACCAGAAGTATATAACTCTTCAATCCCAGTGAAAACTCGACATGTCCGGGCGTGGCCAGACATGACCAAATATGAGTCGGAGCGGACGTCGGAATTATACTACGAGGGAACATGTTCCGAAAGAAAACTAGACAATTCTTATATTTGCAAAATGTTGGGGCAGTACTTGGCATGACCATATGTTAGAATTTTACCACCAAAATAAATTGTCACATTCCAACATATTCTTCAGTGCTTGCTGCATGCTCATGAAATCTACTTAAATCTCACTAGATATGGTTATTACTGGCTTTGCAGTTTATACAAAATATTGCCATACATGCACCAATATCATGTGCATTGCTATGATAACTAGTACACATTACCCCCTACAAGCTGTCCATGGAGATGACTACAGGAGAGCAGGGAATGATGAGAGCAAGTCTAACATGGGTAAATGAATGCAGAATAAATTAATGAAAATGCCTTGAAAGCAAGATGCATGTGGGGGAATCATTGCAACACAAATGCAAGTGCAGAGACATGGAAGCAAACCAAATGCAAGTGATGTGGTGTGTGAGTCTGAAGTGATATAGCAATAGCTTGAGTGCTTGAATGTGAGACAAATGTGAGTTGTCCTCAGTAGACGGTGCCATTGCATATAGTCTTTGGGTCCCAGCCACTGCTTTTAACCTGTACTCTGTTAGTGCAAAATCATCACAACTAATGGCTACTTTACCAAACTCACAGCCTCGTCAACATAGGACTAGAATATGACCTCTGTTAGTGGTGAGGGCAGTCGGAAGAAGTAGACGATACCTTGACTTTGTCAGCAGAAAGTGAATTGTAGTATTTCTGGAAGTCCTCCATGGTTCTGTTTGGTTGAATTCTCTTGAGCCATCAAAGTGCACAGAGGTTTCTGATAATCCAATATGTCAGACCAAAAAATAGTAATGATTTAAACATACCATCTATTCTTGGTTGGACTGGGTCACATCCTCCCAGGCACCTTCACATTGCCCTTGGCAGACTTGGAGGTCATTGATGGAATTGCCAATCCTTCATTCTCTATCTTGCTGCCATTTGGGTCACTTGGGAGCTCAGGTAGGGACTCTCAAGCCTTGTTGGCAGTGATTGCCAAGCATGCTCTAAGAAACACCATCAGAAAAGGTTCCTATTCACATGTATACTCACAGTGGGTTAACTGATATCTTGGTAGGAACGACAGTGACTGGCTCTGGCTCCAGTTGGGGCATGCATGGCACAATCTCCTTCTTGTTTGTGCATGTTGTTTCCTCTGTGACAGAAGGGAGATGGGATGTGTTGCTAAGAGGCAGAGACAGTAATGCCATCGAGGCTGTGCCCTCTGTGATAGACAGAAGATGGGACATGTTGTTGACAGGTGGAGATGGTAATGCCATTGAGGCTGCACCCTCTGTGATAGATGGAAGATGGGTCATCTTGCTGACAGGCAGAGATGATGACAATGTTGGAGAGAGGTTTGACACTGCCAAACTGGTGTCATCAATTTCATGGTCCTCTTAAAAACTGGCTTTCACTGCAGTTCATTGAGATTGTATGGAATACACTCACCTTTCATTCTTTTATCTGGTGTTTCTGACTTGACATTAGCTTCGAGGAGTTTCTGTTTCTTGTCCTTGTCCATCTCCATGTCCTTGTCATCATCTTTGTGTTATGCTTCCATCAGGGGTCTTTCCTTTTCCAACTTCTTTTGGTCACGTGCATCATGTGCCTTGTTGCGTCTCTAATAGTCATCGCCATCCTAGGGGCTCGAATGCTCCAGGGAATGTTCAGATCTCCCACTGTCAAGGTATTTCCAATACCTGTTGAGACCATGTTGCCACTGTGATCTGGTATTCCACTGCCCTCTCTGATGGATGACTTGTTCATTTCTTGACTTGTTTCTATTGCCTACATGTTGTACTATAGCTCCGGTGTCAGGCTCTTTGCTGCACATTGATTGCGCCAGCCAGTATAGCCTTCATTGCCTCCCTACCCCCATCTTTGACACCATATGACTCCTATTTATTTGACTGATTGTTTTGTTGACTACTGCAGATACGTGTCGTGACATGTCTGTCGCAACTGGTACAGTACTCACACTTAGGGGTATATAACCCTACATACTTTGTCCTGTATCTGCAGTTTTTCGATAGCTTGCAACTGAGCTTCATCCCTTTGCTCTAATCCTTGTTCTCTCTCCATGTGAACAACCTTAGGGACTTGCCAGCAGACAGAACCTCTGTTGGATTACTGCAATAACTCAGCCATAGGGGTTATGACAAGTTTGGCCCGTAGTCTCCCCCTCACACACTTCATGCCTATTCCATTTGAAGAAGTCACCATGCTCAGGCATAACAAAATCGAAAAACTCTGTGCAGCTTTCAGGACTTGTCAACCTCTTTGCGAAAGTCTACTCATCCCTGGTTACTGAACTTCAACAAACCAACTACTCTCGTACAAAGGCTCGTTGGTCTCCCTCAGTGTAAAGACTAACTTGCCCCTGTCCTCTGCTCCTCAACTGCTCTAAACAAGCATAACAAAATTGAGAAGCACCCCTCTACCTTAAATCAAATCCACTGCTCTACAGGCAGCCACTAGGCTTTAATAGATCACCTCCCTAGAGTCAGCGCTCGTGTCTCCCTATGCATAAAGTCACTCGTGCACTGTCAAACCACTCCTATGCTGACAGGTTTCTTCCGAGAAATAAATCCTCCCTCAGCCTTTGTTATCACTTCCCGTTAAAGTGTCTAACCCACAGAAATCAAGACTGCCAGTCCCTCCTCAACCAAACCCCCTTGGGCTTGGAAGGAATCCTCCTCTACTGCCCATCCTGCTAGGAAGACTAGGCCCCTTGGTTACCACTACCAACCCTCGGTTATCTTATCTATCCTGGTTTAGGGATTTGGAAGTCGTGCTTAGTTCAGAAGAAGAAGATGATCAGAAGTCCAATACTTCTCTCAGATCGGTCCTCGAGGAAGAACAAGAAGCATGCAAATCATCAGTAATGTCCATGACACTCGGTCATGGAGAATCGGTTCCTGAAATGCCCCTGAGGACCATTTCGGAAGAGGAACTGAGACAGAGGTTGGAAGACCAAAGGCTCGCTATGACAGAAGAGCTTTGCAAGGCAATGCATGCCCAGAGTAGTGACCCTTTTCCAACAGGAATGCCTACAGACTCGGCACTATGTGAATGGTATGCCAGGAACTTCAGAAAGGTAATTCCCCCAGAGGTCCCCTGTGGAGGGTCCAGTAAGGGTAAGGCCCCAGCCGATCCTGATGACCAGTACAATTGCTGCCCACCCAATGGAGGTCGGGAGTTTAATGTCAGGCATCCTGGAGAATATGACAGAAGCCACAATGGGCTTCAGACCTGGGTCATGCAGGTCAAAGGTTACTTGAACCTGAACAAGCACATGTACAATTCGGAATCACTCAAGATTTCGTTCACCCTCACCTACATGACCAAAGGTGCAGCAGTTTCATTTGCCAAAAACTACCAAAATGAAAACAAGCTTCTCAACAGGACCATCTACTACACTGACACCTTCCAGAGGTTTGTGGAATGTCTTAAAGCTACTTTTGAGTCAGGTGACCAGACTGCTCTCACTATATTGCACCTTTCAGAGATCTCTCAGGGCAAACAAGAATTAGAAGCTTATATTGCTGAATTTACAGGGCTTGTCAACAAGGCTCAACTTAAAGAGGAGTCGCGTGAAGCAGGGATCTTCTTCAGAAAAGGATTAAACAAAGAATACCGTGATTGGGTTCTCAATTCTGGACAAGCACCTTCCACAGTCATAGAGTGGATACAGTGCATGGGAGAAGCTCAAACCACTATTGCAATGAAGCACATCCTAGAAGGGAAGGAATCCTGGTATGAATGCAAATTCATTCATTACTGCAGGAGTTCCTGAGATCCTGATGTGATGGATGTTGACAAATGCAAACAGAACGTTAGATGTTCCAGTTCAGAAATTAAATGCTTCAATTGTGGAGCCAAAGGTCACATCAAGCGTGACTGTAAAGTCAAGGTGAAAGCCCAGCTTTCCAATGTTTGCATTGTCATCTCGGAAGACAGAACGAAGACCGCATATGTCAGAGATTGTGAAGCAAATGCAGAGGAAAAGAAGCTGTTGGGTTTTTAAAGGGGACTGATGATTGTCCTGCATCAGTCAGTCCCGTTGCCATTTTGTCTGCTAAATGTACTTCTATAGATGATGAATCAAATATGCAGATTTGATCACCTCTTGGAATGGTCATTTTGGCAGACTACAATGCAGGAATATGGGCCTGTATTGACTTGGGTGCAGAAGTTTCCCTCATCTCAGAACGAATGGTCCAGAAGCTCTGAATACCCATGTATCCAGTGAAAAGCAAGTTCAAGACCACATCGTTTACTGGAAAGGATGTCGAGTGGGTTACTCGCAAGGTGACCCTGAAGATGGAAATCAAGGAGCATGTGGTATGAGTCAAGTGTTACATCA